TACCAGAAAACAGAAAGGGCGCAGAATAATTCGTCGAGGAGCAAATGTAAAGCTGAGGTGTAAGGAAAAGTCGACAGAGAAAAGCAAGTTTTTTTTTTGAGGATATTAATGAGAGGTACAATGACCACCAATTTCCACTAAACGCCTCCGTTCAAGATCTAGAGTGCCGAAATCGAAATACGAAATCGACCAAGGAACTAAAAGCGTTTCGTGTAGATTTTTTACCACCAACTTTGGCCACCACCACCAGCCGACTGAGGAACCAAAAGTCAGTAATTGTTTTAATGCGCGTTGGGCATCGGAAAGGATAATTGCGGAATAGAACTTACTGGATTGCCATAACCTCCACCATTGCCGCCACCGTAACCACCACTACCGCCATATTGTCCTGGAGGAGGGCCGTAGCTAGCTGGAGCAGGTGGACCACCGAAGCCACCACCACCACCACCATATCCACCAGAGGCTGGAGGTCCACCGAATCCACCACCTCCGTTGAATCCACCACCGCCACCTCCGCCGAATTTACGGAAATCACGGTTGGCTCCACCACCACGTCCACGACCACCAGATCGACCTCCTCGTCCACCACCAAAGCCACCACCTTCACGAGCAATGTTCTCGAGGAAGGATGGAATCTCTTGGTTAGCTTCCTTCAAGAGCTCAATAAGATCGCGACAGACACCACGGTTTCCACGGTTGAAGAATGCAGTCGAGATACCGGTATTACCAGCACGACCTGTACGACCAATACGATGAACATAGTCATCAATGTCGGTAGGAAGGTCGTAGTTGACTACATGCTTAACATTGGGAATATCCAACCCTTTAAAGATCAAGTTAGCATTGAACATTCAAAAATAAAATCTCTTGAAAGAAGATTGTGTAGGGGGGAAAGCGTGGAGAGGGAAACAAGATCGGAGGCAAAGACCGCAAAATTTACAACATACCTCTGGCTGCGACAGCAGTAGCAACAAGAATTGGGCAACGACCGTTTCTGAACATCTCAAGAGCACGTTCACGCTCACGTTGAGTACGATCACCGTGAATAGAGGTGGCGGGGAAGTTTTGGTTAATCAAGAAGTCTGACAAGGAATCGGCCATACGCTTAGTCTCAACGAAGATGAGAGTAAGACCAGCACCGTGGGTGTGGAGAATGTCCAAAAGAACGGAACGCTTATCAATGTCCTCGACGTATTCAACCTTTTGAGTGATGTTCTCAGAAGTGGAACCAACACGACCAACAGACAAGAAAACGTAATCCTTCAAGAAATCACGGGCAAGCATTTGGATATCGCGAGGGAAGGTGGCTGAAAACATGAGGGTTTGACGGTTTTGAACACCTGGCATGTCCTCACCCTCAACAATTCGTCGAATTTGTGGTTCGAAACCCATGTCCAGCATACGATCAGCCTCATCAAGAACCAAGTACTTGATGTTTTGAAGAGAAATGCGGCCTCGTTCAATCAAATCGACAAGACGACCTGGAGTAGCAACGAGGAGATCACAACCACGTTCCATTTGGCGAAGTTGAGAACCAATATCGGCACCACCATAAACGACACAAGGGCGAACCCAGGATCTGTAGGCGAATTTGCGGGATTCATCGTAAATTTGGGAAACAAGCTCACGAGTTGGAGCGAGGATCAAGGAAGTTGGGTAAGCCTTACGAGTGCGACCGAAGCTTCCTGCAGCATTAGCTGGAACGGGAGATGGACCAGTCTGGAATGCTTGAGACAAAATGGGGAACAAGAAACCACCAGTCTTTCCGGAACCAGTTTGAGCACAAGCCATCAAATCACGTCCACCCATAACAATTGGGATGGAGTATTTTTGAACTGGGGTTGGGACTTTGTAATGTGCCAACTCAATGTTCTTGATGAGATGATCGTCGAGAGGAGGGTTGGTGAACTTGAGGACTGGTTCTGGGACATCTTGACCAGATGCTTCAACTGGGATATCATCGTACTTTTCGAAGTTGATACCGGTTTGTTGCTTGGTTGGATCATCGGCAACACCGAAGAGCTCACGTTCTAAACGAGCGTTGGCAGGCCCAGCAATGTGTTTTCCATCTCGCCATTGTCCATCTCCACCACCACGAGCTTGACCACCACCACCACCACCACCACCAGCGCCACCAGAACCTCCTGCACCTCCAGGACCGCCGGCACCAGCTGCAGGATTTCCATAGGCGTTCTTGTTGAAGGATGGAGGACCAGATGGGTTCCAGTTGTTTCCACCTCGTGGTGCACCGTTTCCACGTGGGGTGAAATCAGGAGCATTAGCCCAAGATTCACCTCCAGCTGGGCGTGGACCATTAGCGTATCCGTTGCTAAAAGGAGAAAACAAGTCAGCACATCTATCATTACAAATGCATCTGATGAAGATCGAGATAACTCACCCTTGAGGGGCCCAAGCACTACCATTCAAGTTTGCTGGTGGGCCGCTTGGAGCAGGGCCACCCATCTTGCCTCGCATGTGGGGAGGGATATATGATCGAGGTTCACCACCGTTAAGGTTGAGACCATTCATGTTGAGTTGATCCGCCATGTTGAATAAAGTTCAGGAAGATCGAAGTTGTGTAAAAGTCGTGAGGTTATCGGGTATCGATTGATAAGGGTTCTTCGTAATTCGGCCGTAGTATTATCGAACAAATTAGGGTTGACTTTGAAAAGTCTTTTGTGGTAACTTTTGAACGTCTCGTGTAAAAAGACCGTTGAGATGATAATCAGAAATCTAAGAAACCGAAACGCAGAGGAAACGATTAAAAAGAAGGAAATTTGGATGAGGTTGTTGCTTCCGTTCGTCTTTTATAAATAAGAAGAGTAAGGAAACGTGAATGTTGAGACGATCGTCAAACTCTTTTTAACTTGTTTTCTTAATAGCCCTCGAAAGAAACTTCAAAGACCGAAAGGAAGAAAAAAAGAAAGAAATTGATCGTAAAAAAGAAGAAGTTGTATGATGTTATCGGGGTTGAAGAAGGAAGAGATTTTATTTTTATTTTGTGTGGTTGAAGAGGAAGAGGTTCGAAGGAAAAGAGAAAGAATTTTAGTACTGGTAGAAGCAGCTTAGTACTCCTCTCCTAATAGAATTTTCGATTTTTGACTAAGTGCGTATTCCAATCGTGGTAACTGGGTAAGAGAGGCAAAAAAAGAAAAAGAGGCTAGTCTCGATTGAGTTAAGTGGAGAGGGAAGACCCTTAGCTAAACCCTTCTTGATAATTTTAGCAACGATGAACCAATGAGAAATCAAGAATTTTAAAGTTCTCAACCCTTAACTGCTGGGTCGGGTATCTACATTGTACATCGTAGGTACCTAGTACTCGTAGTAGTAGTAGGTATGAGAGAAACCCAATGTTCGATATCATCCCGCCGCCCGCACTGTATTCCGTCCTATGCCTAGGAGCCTAGTAAAAGGAATCCCTGGTATACAGGTACCCTACCTACTTAGAAAGGTAATACCGTAGGTAACTGGCCGTCTAGAATCTTTGTACGAAATATATACCTACCTGGGTAACACTTAACTAAAATGAACAATATCCATACGTTTGCCGTGTATCGTACTGTACTTGGGTATTTCCAGCTACCCACTCGACATCTACCAGATACTTACTCACGAGCTACTCATTCATTCAGTCTTGTTATATATACAGAGTGTACTCATTACTGACTCTAGTAGTACTCAAGCTTTTGGTCACAGCAAATTATTTCCACTTATTCATTTGGTTTGGATGACGCTCCGCTGGGCCACTGCCGTGGAGGCTTCTTCGCTTCGCTCCATTATTCTGTTCCTAACCTATTGTTTGTATCAGTCTTGGTATATTTATTATATTTATCTGGTTGCTGCCTCCTAGGTAGATAGATACCTATATGATACATTATTTCTAGATATTACCTTTGTCTCCTACCTTTCTTCATTTCAATTGTCGGACTACTAGTACCCGCCCCTCCCTGTCTGATGTTGACGCGAGTAGGTTCGTATCAAATGACGTCGCACATTCATCATTTATGTTTCAGTCCAACATTGGGGCGAGTATTGCAACCACTATGTAATCTTACCACACTGTCACGAGAAAACTATGTCAGTACGTTCAATAATAGAAGAAGGATCAAGATATAATTTTAGATAGTTTATAGGTATAAACTCTGATCAGATAGTCAGTACTGTATTTATATATATAATAGCAAGTGTCACCCGTAAGATCATGGTATAAGAGTCCTCCTGTCAGACTCAAATCTGCTTTCCCCTTCCAGACATCCACTGCATCTATACCCTCACATTTGATTCACCATTCTACAATACCCATCTTAGCATGGGTCACTATGCATGTCTACACAGTACCTATCTTTTTTGATGAAGTGAAAAGAAGCATTCGCCATGTTAAAGTTGCAGGCATGTTCTAGACCGTCGATCGATCTCCAACTTCCAGAATAATGAGAGACATCTATGAATGTGACCTTCATCTAAGTTTCGGCTATAAAAAAGAGAACCCGCCTGAGACTGTACTTCATGAAAAAAGTCTTTGGAAATTTACATCTTCTTACTGGGGCATGTGAGGTCGGTGTCAATGTGTAAGTTGAACTTTACGCTCTTATCGTGGTTGATCTTTGTCCAATGCATATACTGGTTGCACGCAGCAAGATACGGACGATGGATAAAGAGGGTAGGCATCGATAAACCTTAGGTTTCAAATAATTCCTGCATATACCCGGCAACAAGACTGGTAGGTTTGAACCACACAACGTTTGCAAATGTCGCAGATAAACAAAGGTAGCCACCACGGCAATGATCCCCCGGAAGGGCGAGCGGAGCGTCATTTCAAATGTACCAACAACTTCTAGACGGACCAAATCACGATGCATTTCCAGTAACGAGTCATCAAAATAGGTATCGCCAGTTTATGCCATTTGATGCCACGCTAATATACACCCATACCTTAATTCATAGTTTATCTCCTGTGTCATAAAAGGCCCCTCATAAGAAACCATCCTCGAATCAACCCTCTAAGGGCAGTCAATTCTCGCACTGTCATCATAATCAAGCTCCTTGATTCCCTCCTTCGTAATAACTTTAACAGTCATTCCCTTGAAATCAATCGGCAGCCTTCTCTTCAACTCATCTGTACACATCCTCAAAACCTTCATTCCCTGTTCGAAATCAATATCTGGGTGATGATGTTTATCAAGAATAGACAAGCAGTAGTATTGTGCATAGCCGTGAGCTGCATATGGAAGGGGTGCAAGTGACGCTAGGTAATCGAGCCAGTATAAGCTGGGCTTGTCGGTAATAGGATCAACACCACCGAGGAGAAGGTTGACATTGTATGGTTTGCGGGAGCGAAGAGATTGTGCTAATTCACCACGGACAAAGTGAGCGACCGCGGATGGGGAGAGATCGATGTTATTGCGCATGGAGTAAAGTTGAGCGTTGGCTTGAATGTATTCTGCGAATTGAACTGTGAAGCGCTAATATTAGCATATTATCTTGTTGCAGAAGACCGTGGACAATTACTTGTATCTCCAGCCTCTCCGGAAAATGCCATCAAGGTATGTTGGTTTAATGCTCTTGTCTTGTCATCTGAAGCTTTGAGAATGGTTGCACCTCTCATGGCAGCTTTTGAAGCCGCAATGATGGTAAAGTCCTTGCCAGTTATTCCAAGTAAGACCTCCCTAAGAAAATGATCGTGTCAGCGCAGTCTTCTACAGACATTTTGTTCATTCAAACTTACATGTTGATAGTGATTTAAGTTGTAGGATGAAGTTTCAGATTGTATTAACTATTGAGACTTGGGAGCTCCAACGCGTGTAGCTCTCGCTGCCTCATTGAATTTGGCGCTAACATACTTATGTCTTAGCGCCAAAAGCTTGAACATTTTATCACCCCTCTGATTGTGAGAATGAATAAAATCCCGATAAATCAAGTTTCAATTTGACCATAAATTTCTGCCAGAAATAGATCCAGATGGTCTATGAATCTACATCTACCTAGTATGTGACATCTCTACGAACGCAATCTGTAATTCTTTCTATATATCAATCCATGACCTTTAATCTCGAGAGACATCACGTGACTATATACTCCATTTTGGATCCACTCAATCCCTGTCTCGAAATTCTGCGGCAGAATAATCCTACCCAAAAAATTATTTTGATAGGACGAACATTTTTCTGTATTTTCTATCGTGACCTTTCCTTTTCACAACCACCACAATTATGTCTTCTTTCTTCACTATACCCAACTCCCAAAAGAAGAGGAAACGAAATGATGCCCCAGAAGTACCCAAGAAAAGATTAGCTGCCTCATCGAAAGCTCCCGCGAAACAGCCAAAACCTGCGAAAAAAACCGAAAGAGATGAATCGATTTCTGGAAGCGACTCGGAGAGCGAGGGAGGTCAATTGGACGACGACGTTGCAGATCTCACCTCGGATGATGAATTGGAGGGAGAGGGAGAGGAAGAAACTGCGGCGGAGCGCAGGCTGAGATTAGCAGAAAGATATTTGCAAAATATCCGGGAGGAGGTAGCAGATGATGAAATTGGGTTTAACGCCGAGGAAATTGATCGAGATTTGATCGCTGAACGTTTAGAAGAAGATGTTGCGGAATCGAAAGGAAAAATATACAAAACATTGGCAGACGAATTAAAATTCGGGGAAGCATCGAGTTGTCATTTTAAGAAGGATTCGCATTCATTTACGGGTGTAGCTACATGTGCGCCATATGTCTATACTGTGACCAAGGATATGTGGCTAGTCAAATGGAAAATACAGGACTTACCAAGGGACCAATATCCGCAAAAGAAGGGCAAGAAGAAGAGCAAGAAACCTTCACCACCGCCGAAGAAAAAGCCTACCCTAGTAGCTTCAGTACGAGGGGATCAACGAAAGTCGAAAGTGACATCCTTCATGGGACATACCGACGCAATCATTTGTGTGGCCGCCTCACAAGATGGTAAATTCGTTGTAACAGGTGGAGTGGATCGAAAGATTATTGTTTGGAATGCAGAGACTCTTCGACCTATTCGAGTTTTTTCGCAACATCGAGACTCAATTACAGGTTTAGCTTTCAGAAGAGGAACAAATCAATTATATTCCAGTTCAAAGGATCGAACGATCAAGATATGGAGTTTGGATGAAGGTGCATATGTGGAAACTTTGTTCGGTCATCAGGATGAAGTTGTGGATATTGCTTCTCTTGCCCAAGAACGCTGCATATCAGTAGGCGCTCGTGATCGTACAGCCCGTTTATGGAAAGTGGTGGAGGAAACACAACTAGTTTTCCGGGGCGGTGGAGGTGAGAAGAAGTCTCGTCACAAGAATAATCCTAATGACCTCCGTACGCTTGAGGGTAGTATCGACCGCATAGCTATGGTTGATGAGGATATGTTCATTACTGGAGGCGACAACGGATCACTGTCTCTTTGGACCATTCACAAGAAAAAGCCAATCTACACATTGTCTCAAGCTCACGGAGCAGACGAGCCAATCAAACCCGAAGAAGCATCCGCAGAAACCGACCCCTCCAAAAGAATCGTACCTCGTCCCTCACCCCGCTGGATTACAGCTTTAACCACAATTCCCTACTCCGACGTCGTACTCAGTGGTAGCTGGGATGGTGTAGTTCGAGCCTGGAGAGTCAGTGCCGACAGAAAAAGCCTTGAATCTATGGGCCCCGTTGGTCGAATCGCTGATACCCCTATGAATGGTGCAAATACCAAGAAAAATGGATCCCAAGCACCAGCCCGTGGCATCATAAATGACATATCAGTTTTCGAACGCGGTGATAGGGGAAAGGATGGTGTATGCATTATTGCAGCAGTAGGAAAGGCCCACCGTCTAGGTAATTGGCAAAAGGCACCAGCGGGAAGAAACGGAGCAGTCATATTTGAAGTCTCGAGGAAACAGATAACTAATGGTGTTAATGGGCATGCGGATGAAAACGGGAAGGAGGCATAATATGCTTTACAAATGTATAGTTGGGGATCAATTGGCCCGGGGGAGTCTTGTCATATAAAGGGCTGGATGCATGATATCTTCATTTGTGATTACGTTTACTTGTATGTATGAAATCGAGGTAGATACATAGCTCAATAATGAGGTAGCTTCTGGCTCTTGATAATCTTGCTGAGAATCGTATGCACGTGGTTGTATTGTGTGTTAGTTTTGGTATTCATGGTCGTGTTCCATGCATGTGGACATACCTAGGTACTTGTAGGTAGCATACCCCCACCTCTTTCCCCACCCGTTTCCCCCTTTTCCCAACCGAGCAATGTCAACCCATAAGCTACGTGTCTCTGGACCCCTCATGTAACAAGCAGATACGACTAATTCGGAGAAAGATTGTAAATGAAAATACTCTCAAGAGCGGACACACCCCAAGAAAACCATACGAACTAAGACACTTTGCGAGAAAGATGTGAAGATCATCTATAATAAATTTGGGGTCTTCACGACCTTTATGATTGTTAAATTTCCTGGTATCATTTCTTGACTATATCATACAACACCTTCATCTTGCATCTAGTATCTCCTCTCGACCCACCTATTCATCACCCGATATGTGTACACTTTGTCCGTGTCATAGCTCAAGAATATCTGGGCGATCAAATTTTTGCAAATGATTTCGAGGGAGTGCAGTGATTACCAATGAAGAAAGCCGAAGTTGAATCACCAACTAAGTCTTGAAGGAACACCCTAATGGTATAAATTACGGCATTTTGAATCCCCATCAATCAGCCTTGCCCTTCCCTTTCCCAACAACCTCTTTTCGCTTCTCCCAAACCTGCAAGTAACTCTCTCCTAAATGCAAAAATTCTCTTTGCCCTCCTTCCACAAATAGGTCCTGCACCACTTTCCACTCTCCCGTCGCCTTGTCTCTCAGTTGCACTTTCCAGCTCCTCTTTTCCGATTCTCCTTCTACACTATCTTCTCGCCCTCTGACTGCTTCATGTACTATATTCGCAACTAAATCGTACCATATTGGTTCTCCAGGTCTAGCATGTTTCATGTCGGGTTCAATATATGGTGACATATCGAGATTGCGCGCGTCGAACGTGACAATTGTAGGATTACGTTCATCGACGAACTTGTTATGCGAGAATCGTTTTATGTGGAAGAGGAGAAAGGGTGGTAGTGGATGAAGTAATCGGTAACGTTTGCGCATGTTGAGATGCTCTTGCGCTTTTAGACCATCGTATTTTGCGAGGATACTGGTCAGGGGAATTTGAGGAATGATGTTTCTTTCTAATTCGTCTTGAAACAATGGCGCTGGAGGTAAATCTAATGTGAGTAGCATGAACCTACTAACATCAGTTTTGACATCTGCATCTTCAAATCGTAATCGATCACCAGCATCGGCTTTGGCGGTAATAGCTTGGGATTCGACTTTCAGCTTTCCTTGGAATATCTTCTGTATTATTGAAGAGCCAGGTTTAGTTTTGGAACCCCCGAGTGCGAGATGTAGGTTATTGAGGAACCAGGAAAGGAAATCGACAGGGTCGGATTGGGTGGTTAGATTGAACTTCTTGTTTGATTTGAGGGATATCTCTTGGAGAAGTTCGTGTGGAGAGACGTGAGATTTAAAGGCTCTTGGATTCCATATCTTTCGGAATAAAATAGAAACTCGTTTTATGAGTTCCGCCTTGTTGTGAAAGTCCTCCAATAAAAAGAAATTTCGAAGAGGCGGCACATGAGAAAGTGCTTGTATTACTACATTGAAATAGTCGTTGTCCTTGATGTTGTTCATACCGACAAAACCTGGTATATATTCTTTGCCAGATAGAGTCCAAGAAGATTTGGCCTCACGATCCATAGCCATAACCTGCTCTTTTGTGTATGTAGGATCAGATACAAACTTTATGTCGTCCAGACTCTTATTTTTTACCTCGTATCCTTCTGGTAGAACGTAGACTTTTTGTGTTTGCATATTGATGAATACGTGATGCCCTACCTCAAGAGCATGGAAATAGGCATGAGACTTTGTCCCTCGACCCTGATAGTATTTCCCACATATTAAACAAGCGTATACATTGATATTTGAAAGGGAAATCGAACAGAGCTTTTCGAAATCGAAGTCTAAGACATTGCGATTGATGGTATCGAGGTAGAGATCGTCGTAACCTTCCATTGGTGCCTTCTCTCGAGGGACCATAAGTTGCGAATCTCCATCCTCAACTTCAAGATCTTCCATTCCATTTTTCAAATCCTCCTCATCCTCAATCTGCACCGGTCTAGGTTCTACCGTCCTCTGTCGTTTCGGGGTGGGTTCTGTTTCTAAATGCGCTCCATTGATCGAATTGTCGTCATCACTTTTTGTGCCAGCATTCGTAGAGTCGCTATCGCGTTCTTTACGCTTCCTAGTCGGGACATCCATATTGGTAGAACTTGGCATGTTGATATTGGAGATAACTGTAGAAGATACTCTAAGGCGAGGCAAATGGAGATTGAAAGTTGACCTCGCTTGTTATTTATTTGTAGCCTTGCGCTAAATTTAATTTTGGGTGTTGAAGTAGCTGTCTAGGTAGGACAGGTAGCTCCAGGGGCAATGACCACGTTAAAGCCACACTCAAGCCACACTATTTCTAGTCACCTCCAGCTGGGCACTCAACATCATATATGAAAAAACTTACTTCCAACCTGCGCCTTTTTTCTAATTCAAATCCACAGCTACCAAAGCGAGGGTATTCTCGGAAGAGGCTGATTCTGTGATATAGTTCCTTCTTGACAATTAAAACTGAATGTAAAGGTTATTTGAACTCATTTACATTGGAGCGAAGCTTGCCATGTGGGTCTGTGGGCTTGCTCTCATGATGATAGTTGATTGCTTTGGATAGGTCGTAGTATATTCAATCAATCAATCAATCAAGGTAACAGTTGAAATTAGTTATCAGAAAACGATGCTCCACTGATATTCGTATGACCATTACCCTGTCGTGGAGGTGAAACCCACACCCGGAAGAAAGTACGAACTCATGCACCGAGCAATAATCGGACATCAAAATAGCACCATAACATCTAACCAAGAATGCCGACTGCTATCCGTTCTTCTCAAGTTAAAAAGTAGAAACAGAATCATAAAAGACCAATGTTGTGCCGCCGGAAGTATCATTTGGTACGACATTACAGCCCTATCTTAATCACGATCATCATTGTCCACCCTAGGGTTCAACGAATTTGACTGCTTTTTCCAGCGCATCTTCCGCTTCCTTATTGAAACCTAGAATTGCCGCCGCATCTAAAATATCATGTGGTGCACTTAAGATCTTCGAAATCCTGTCATCGCTTTGGCAAACTCCACATGTTGATCGTATATCACTGTCGAGGTGACAGTTGAAATGAAACGAGTATCTGGAATTGTGAACTTGTATCCTGCTGAGAATGCATATAGATGGTTTCCGTTTTATACTGGAGGTAAAAGTTGACTGGCACTAAATTCTAGAATCAATCCTAACCTGTCTTGTCTTTTTGATGGCCTTCCAATATCACTCCATTAAGCACCAAATCTATTCATGAGCTCCAGAAAACTCCGGCTTTTGGTAAAGGCAAACTTCACTTCCCCTTACTGCTAGCGAGAGTGCGTGCTATTCCCAACAAAGCTTGAGTACTTGTAAATTTGCCACCGTCTAAATAATAGCTAGTCGCTATGGTATGCCTTGCGTGGGAATGGAATTAAGGGTGTGGGATACTAGGCTGCACTGATTGCAGCGTGACTGAAAGTATATGAATTAGTGATAACACTATATGTCGAGGCATTATGAGACTGTACTGTACAGTGATAAAAGAGTCTTACCGGAGTCACGGATCTGGTGGTGTGGTAAAGACTCGCATTATAGGGCCATTAAATGAGAGAACCATGCAAATCAACAACTGAATCGTGCCTCCAATCATGAATTTGAGAAGGTGATCTTGGATTCTAATAGGAAGAGAACCATACTAATCAAATTGGCAACGCAATATCCAATAGTCAAAACGTGATGTAGAAGTTAGTATGCCTATGGATGAAGTAAGCTTAGATTGGATGCGGCGAAAATGATTATCAATCTTCAAGCTCTCAGCAACTGTCAATTCGTGCTATTAGTCTATATAGATAGATGTTCGAAATATATCCTCTCCATGTGGAGAAAAAAACCTAACAACATGTATACAAGATTCTATGGTGACCTAACCATCGTGCCAAAATCTCGATTCCAAGGTTCAAGTAGGTGTCCTCAAGCTTAATCGTTTTTTCTTCAGAATCATAGGCGGCTTGAATCCTTTTAGTTTCATAGTCTTTGGCTCAATATTTTGACCCAATGTCTAGTAGCAATCTGGGTATCCGAAAGTACCATTAATATAATAGGCCCTTACTCAAGATATTTCCTCAGGAAATGCTCTCATGATGAGATTGATATTTAGCTCAATGTTCATAGATTGAGATAGATGTATCAATGCCAACAGTTCCTTTTCAAACCTATCTCGTCGGTTTCTTTACTCGCTTGAGATACAGTGCCGGATGCCCATTCGCAGTTCTCAGTGTGGGATTTAGAGTGTGTTCGAATCGATTTTTTTTCGATATTAAATCTAATATATTAGAAATATTAGCTTAATACCATATTTATCAAATATGATATTGAATTGAATATATATTAAATTTAATATATAACTAAAACTATTCAAATATTTTGGAACTAAACATAATATTAAACCTAATAAAATATTAGTTCTGATAATCTTAAAATAACAAATATATCAACTTTTCTCAACTTTTCTCATACAATAATTAACAACAACCTCCAAAATATTATAAAACAAATATATTTGAGAAAAAGCAATATCACCTTCGTTTTCAACCCAATCTCACACATCCTAATATTACTCCAAAAATATTAGCTTCACTGAAATATACCCAAATATATATTAGCTTCAATATTTCAATACCCTTATCATTTTATCATTATTAGACATTTGATCAAATAAATAAAAAATCGATCCGAACGCGCCCTTATTCTCGGGGCTGAGTATTTGCGCAAACACTTCAAGGTATGGAAGCTGATTGGCACTCTAGACGACGGGGATTCATTCTAACAACGGAGCCAGCGTATTTATAATTTTTATACGGCTATCTAATCAAGGCTTATTATGCACCTACTTTCAGATTGCAATAGATGACAGGCAGGTGGTGACAAGATCTCGGGTCCCAGAATTGAAAGTATGCTTATCAACAAGTCAAAATCATTGATGATACCCGGCTCGAGAAAGCTAGTGTTAGTACTCGTGCTAATGCTAATAATCATAATCAAACTATTCGCACGGGTCATTACAATACCAAGGATTGAATTAAGTTAATGAATGTAATCACAACATCAGTCATCAAAATTGGAACCCGGATCTGATTTATGGAAGAGCGGGGTACAAAGCATACTAGTCAACAATGAAATTGGTTGTAATATCATGAATGGTCCTTGAAATATCGTTTTGAAAGCGCTAAACCTCTTTCAAGTATGTCTTGAAAAACCTGGAATGGTGAAGAGTGCTGGTATCTTCCCCGAAGAGAATCTCTTTGACGAAGGTGAAACCATCGTTATGAATAAGAGGCACCACCATATTTAGAACAATTGGAAACTGAATGAGAATCTTTAGACTACGGATCACCACTCTAAGACCAACAAACTATACATCACGAGATGAGAAAAAGTAATTCTTGCTCGGCTTTTGCAGTCATTTATGGGTATTCACTAGATACCGAGGTACTCAGTCACATATGATTCTTTTGAAGATTAAAGTCTCTTAATTAGTCACCTGAATATGGATTGTTATAATCTTTCCGAAAAGCAATTATGACCTTAGACCTCGGGAACGGCTGAATGCCGAGGTGTGCTCGCGCATTCAGAGAAATTCACCCTCAAATATTGATAAAAATAAGTACCGCCTTCTGTTTGGCATCGGAATCACTGCAGCTGTACAGTGATGAAGTACCATAAATTTGTTTGAGTCTATAGAAATTTGGGGCTGTAGTGCCATCAATATAAGGAGTTTCTACTGACATAAAACATGAAGACAGAATACACCAACGCAGACCAGCTTTGATCGAAACGAAAAGACATTAGTTTTGGGTTCACCCTAGCTCTTTTAACTTCTAATCCAAATATGACGGATAAGTCGACGTTACTCAGGGTATCTGATAGTCTGGACTGTAGCCCAATGATAAAGATTATTACGTCCCCAAGCCAATTAGAATATTCATGTCATCTGATATGCTGAATTCAATTAGAACTTAGAACTATTTTCTAATTTCTAATTGCGTTTAGACTTTCAAATCCTTATATTATTGGACTGCAATCCCGACTATTGACTACGCTTACATCACTACATGTCATATGTACCTATACACCTCCTAGAAATTGTTCGCCTGCGATTAATCTGCTGGTCGTTAATTCAAATAGATTGTACCTATTCGAATTTGATGCTGTTTCTAGTAGCATAGCATTGTGGGTCAAAAGATCTAGTAGACTTGGAACATTAAGCGAGCGTCCCATTCCCACTAGATATTCGTCTAATCTCGCAATATCATATAATGAATATGATCATAGAACTATGATTGTACTATCATCCGAAGTTTGCAATCTAGGTCCTTTAGTTTAATTTTTCAGAAATGAATAAAGGTTGCCGTAATTGCAGGTGTTGTCATGGAAATGAAGCTGTCTGAGCCCCACATTGAAAAACATTCACTATGCGACGATGTCAATCAAATGAGCAAGTTTCTCCATTCACAGCCTTTCTAATTATGCCGTGATAAATCGCCAGTGAGCCGTAAGTATTCACCTACAATCTCACTAGCGCGCACAATCAAGATTTGAAAATATACACTTAAGGATCTTGAAATTTCCACCACTTCAACAAACCCATCACTCTTCCAACTGTACGAAAACACAACCAAAACCTTGATATTCATCAAAACTCTTTACACAAAAACCACAATAATACTTTTGAAAGTTATTGAAACTATCAAGTCTTCAGAAACTTCATCAACTGAACAACAGAACGCCGTTGCACGTAAGTTTCTCAATCTATCAACGGCCACAAATCATTTGTCATGCGCCTTGTTAATCAATTCCATCAACAGAGGAAATTTACCAAGCATAAAGACTTTCAAACTTTCAACCTTTACGGCTTTCATCTTCCTTACAGATACAAAAATATTCCAAGTCGAAGATCGAATTGTAATTCTTCCAATCCCTCTTCGGCGCCCAAATGTTCTGCACAGTTTGCTAACTGATTCTACACACAGTTTCAAAATGTCCAAGAACAGCCTCGATAACCTAGCTCCAAGCGTCAAGCCTCTTCTTTTCGATCCACGTAAGAAGAAAGCTCCACAACAGCTACTTACCCAAAAATCAAATTTTAATGAGCGAGCAGCTCAACCATCCATTGATACAGAGATGGGAGACACCCTCGATCCGGGTATGATATTCTTTTTCAAACTTTCTACATGAATTACACTAATAAATTGCAGAGCCTGGTGTACTCGACCCTCAGAAGGGTAGTCAAGGAGTTGCACCAACTCAGCCAGCGGAGAAGAAAGAAGCGGTAATATTCGGCTCCGGCATGTATGGAACAGGTATGATATCTGGTACTTAAATCCTTTATGTGAGCTGTACTAATGGATTCCAGTCTCTGCAGGTGGTAACAATAAATTCCAATCATCGAAGATATTTGGAATGTCGTTCAATGGCGGCAAAAAAGTCGACGAAGACACGCTTAAGCTTCAGCTCGGAGCTGTCAATGATGAACTAAGAACCTATAAAAAGGATAGCAAGGAAAGATTCGACACACTTGAGGGGGAAATCGTCAGCCTCAAAGCCGAGAACCGTCAATTAGAGGATAAGAATTTGGACAAAAGCAAGCAGCTCCAAGACCTTCTTGGTATAGCATCAGGAGCAGATTGGAAGGATACAGCGTCTGAGAATGCAGCTGCGAGCAACTCCATTATCGAACGTTTGCGAAACGAGAAGGGTACATTGACCAAGTACAATGGTCGAATTATTCGAGAAAAAAAGGACCTAGAGAAGAAAGTTGATGAACTTGAGGAGAAAATCAATGGTCTAGAGGGCGAAGATCAATCCATGACTCGCAGATTACAAGCTGCACAAGATGTATGGGAAGCTGCGAAGATTTGTCACCAGACCGAGATGGACCAATTACGAACACAACACAACGAACTCAGGAACGCTTTTGATGGACGTGAAGATGATTACAGGAAGCTAAACGTTCAGGTCAACGGACTACAGGCCGAGCGGGACCATCTTAGGCAGTATATTGCTGATATCCAAGCACTAGACCTCTCTGAGGTTGTAATTGAGACACTCACCACGGAGAGAAACAATTTCAGAGATGAACTTGAGAAAGCTCGAGCACAAGGCATTTCTGAGGAAAGAATTCAGTCACTCACCAATGAGCGGGACCAAGCTATGCAACAGCTGAACCATACCACACAACAGCTCAATCATTCCGTGCAAGAAGAAAGCGATGCGCAGGTAAAAATTGCCTCCATAATGGCGGAGATCGAGCAAATGAAGCCAGAATTTCACCGTGTTTCCGAAAGAGCTGACACCGTTGATGGTCTGAATCAAATCATTCACTCACTCCAGACAGAGCTTAACACAGCCAGGAATGACCTCAACAATGCCAATGCTGAACGCTCGCAAGCCATCGAAGCTAAAGAACAGGCCATATTGTCCGCTAACCAAGCTTTCTTCGATTTCAGTGCCACCAATTCTGCCAATGTGATCCAACAGCTTCGCACGTCAATCGAAAATCTTGAAACCGAGAAGACCATGCATCAAATGAAGATCAACACGCTTGAGGCCGACATCACCAAGATCCACGGAGACTACGAACACAAGTTGCTCGCTGTTCAACAAAACCACCAATGCATTGCCGATGAAAAGGATGCGGCGATTGAAGGCCACCAGAATAAGCTGTCTTTGGTGATTAGTCAACATCAGAAAATGGTCAACGACAAGGATGAGATGATTGAACGACTCAGAGCTGAAAGTTCTGCTGGTAAAGCTTCTGTCCAAGAACTTGTCTTGGAAGCGAAAAAATCCGCTGGTGCTTCTGAGTTGGAAAAGAACTATATCAAAGGTGAACTTGATGCTGCCAAGAATTCAGTACTGGAGATCCAATCTTCCAACAAACTAATTCGGGGGGACCTCACCAAGCTTCAAACAGAGATTGAATCGGCGAAGAATCACATCGTGAAGACCGATACGAAGGCAAAGTTGGCAGAGAAACGCTTGGCGGAGACAGTAGAGCTATTTGTCAAAGAGCAAAATGCTCACAAAGAGTGGAAGAAAAATCACTCTAATGCTGTCAATGGTCTTGTAGGCATGGGTAAAACTTCGATGCTCAAGGAATATTTTGCTAAAAAAGTATCCTCAAATACAACTGATCAAGACGACCTTTTTGAGGTAGAAGAGAAATCGGTAACTCCAGTCCGTACACGTACTGTCGTACGTGACGCACCACCCAGAGTCTCTTCATTTGTAGCAGACGCGTCTGACATTGAGCTCATGAGAGCGACCACTCGAGCTGGACTCGAAAACGCTAGAGCTAATGCCAAAGCCGAATTCACTGAAGATGTGAAGACCGAGCTCCGAAAAGAATTAGCTGAGAGCATCAAGGTCGAACTCAGAGAAGAATTGGCTGAAAGCGTCAAGGCCGAAATCGAGGAAGCACTTTTAACATCTTCCACAATTCTCGGTCAAGATGTTCAAACTAGCCAGGATTTTGCCATGGCTATTGAAGGACAAGACAACAGCCTCAATCTTGCGGGTATTGTCACATCCGATCCTGCAACTTCAACATTTGTACACGAGACCGCTAATCGTGATGGATCAGCCATGAATGGCTCATTACCTGATGGACAAACTCCAATTCCAGTGATTTTCAGTAAGAGAAAATCACTTTCTAGGCCTAAGGTTTACTCTTGGTCAATGTTTCTCTTCATCCTTTTGTTAACCTGTTCTTTGGTTGGCTACCTTAGAGGCCCTGACATCTCCTCTACCCCAGGGGTTGTCGGCTTAATTGACGCCCCAAGACCGGCAATTATCCCAGTTGCCACAATAAACGCATCTCATTTTGCGACGCGCACGGTCTCTCGATTAGCGGTAATACCAGCAACGGCTTCAGCTTCTGTGGAAATCCCTCAGGTCACAACAGTTGCTGTTTTATCTGGAAATTCCGACTACTTAACCCCAATTTTATACCGAAGCGGACTCATCCACCTGCACCGATTCGTCGTCAAGGTCAAGTCAGTCGTCGCTACCTGGGAAGCTTTCAAGACTTCTTTTGAATACGTTGCTAGTTTTTTTCCTGACAAGCATTAAATCTCAAGGGTTTTTGACAAGTTCTTACTGCACCATACTTGCTTTAAGCTTATGGGCCGTCAAAGAAGCACAACTTTCTGTATTTACATGTTGTTCTGGTTTTCTATTGTTCGGGCTTGATTGTATTCTTTGCGAGGGCGGCGACCCTTTCAAATGGTCCTAACAACACTTCGAGTGACCCCAATCTGACGTTCTCAAAACAACTGAGAATCATCATCTTATCATGAATACTCCGCATCGAATTTGCATGAAACTTTCTGAGAAGGCGGACGCGTCTTCAATAATGAAGTATTTCTGTGGATTCTTTGTAGGTTATCTTTTCTCGATGATGCTAATGATGAACTCTCCTACTTTCTATATTCCGACGATAAATTGACGAGGAATCATTCTCACAACTTCTGTACACTGACAATTCTTTTCGACTTCCAGTTGTTTCCTTCCAACACCTCAATACCAGCATTTACACGACGACGCACCATGATTGGGATGAACGGAATCAGGTTTTACTCATCCCCTTAGGCAAGGGATAGGTTAACAGACTTTGTTCTCCTTTCTTGAAGGTCTATGATAGGAGGAAATGTGAAAGATGGATGCTTCCTTTGGCGAGGCTGCACTCATGCTGACATACCACTTTCTATCAAAAACTTTATCATGCGGAGGCAACACAGCATGAAATGCTCCCTTAGTCAAGGAACTAATCTCATGTCTGTCGCAATCTTCCAATCAACAGAAGACTATAGGAGAAGAAACCTCGAAGGTAGATATTTCCTTTGGCGAGGACTTATTTTCATACACGGGTTTATTCTCCTATCAGCATCAATGAAAGCGGCGGCGAAATTGCAACGAGACGTTCCCTTAGGCAAGGAGCTACTCTTATGCAATGATCTAACCTGGAATGCTTATGACTTTATGGTGAAATGGAGGAATGAAGGAAAGAATCACTGGAGGAGTTGAAATTCTGCAGAAATGATTGCTCTCGAGCTGGAGTTCTCCAATGGTTACTGAAATTGGTTGACGACACTGTGGTGGAGTTATGGCGATAAGATTACTCGGAAAATGGCAAGGGCTTTGCGATTTGAGAAGGGATTTGAGATGGGGTGGCTGAGAGAATAAATGGACGGATTCGATGTCAATGGGTCAAAAATGGTGTAAATCCTGGCAGGAAGCAATGGCTCTGCAGGTACTGGAGGATTTATTCGGAATTCGCATATTTTTGTGGTCTGGTTTTTTCTGGTCTGGCTGTTCGCAGATATTGAAGTTTCCGTATCTTATTTGCTGTCTGTTCTCTTTGGTATGGTGTCAAAGTACTTGGTGTTTTCGGCAGTCTTGATAGATGATGTAGGATCACGATCTTGATAACGCCTTGGAGTTGAAGCTGCTGTTGCAGGACTCTAATGAAAATACCCTCAAATACTTCAAAATCAACGTGTTGCTCGTGATATGGTTCTGTTTTGGTGAAATTGTAATGAATGAGGTAATGCAGTGATGCTTGTAGTGATCCATGCTCGTCGATAAAAACGATGGTGCGTCCATCTTCGTTGTTGACTCATCAAGGTCTGTCTGTGAAGGTACTGATCAATGAGTGCCCTGTTGTTAAATATCAAACAAGTATATCGATTTGAGTATCGTTTTATTCAACAAGATGAAGAGTAAGTTACATTCTTGTCATAAGAGGATCCTCATTCTATATCTACTTCGTAGGTAGGCTCGAGGTAGGCCCTCGAATAAGTCGATCACCCTACTTTTGGGCCACCCCTGTTTTAGGCTATCCTTTTACACCAAAAACCACTTTTTTGGCTTATCAATATCTCCATTAATATTAAATATAATTTAATAAAAATTTATATTTATATAATTCAAGCTATTTTGGATTTATATTAGAATTTTTAGGATTTTTCTAAATTAAAATCTAAAGTTTAAAAATATCGATTTTCGAATTTATATAGAAATTATATATAATCTTTAATAACTTTTCAATAATAATAATTAAAAGAAAATTATATATATTTTCGAATATTCCAAATCTAAATCTATATAAAAATTCAAAAAAAAATTCAAAAAAATAAATATATATAGAGATATAATATATAATAAGTTTAAATTAATATAAATAATCCCTATAATTCTAAGGGTATTATTTTAAATATTTATTTATAAGAAATTTTCCATTTTTTCAGAATTTTTTAAAATAAATATATTACAAATATATTATAAAATTTTATAATTTCTTTTTAACTATATTTTCTTAAAAGTTATTATAGATTTTATAAAGTTTCAAATTTGTACATAATTTTATACAAATTGAAAGTTGATATTTTGAAACTTTAGAAATCAATTCACAATAATTCTAAAAATCTGAGATTTCTAGAATAAGATTGAAATAGCTTGAATTATATATATATAGATTTTTATTAAATTATGTTTAATATTAATAAAGATATTAATAAATTAAAAAGTGATTTTTGATGTAAAAGGGCGGCCCAAAACAGGGGTGACCCAAAAGTGGGGTATCCGACTGATGATATGGTACTGTTGGATACATACCGGGAATTTGGGCCGAAGTGTCGCCTTGATGGTCTCTCCTCTCGGATTCCTCTCCATCTTGACCTTGATCTTGATAAGAGTTACTTCTCAGGATCTCAAAGTCATGGGATTACTAGGTATATGACTTTGCTGACGAAGAGTATGGTATGGCATCTTCAGATGGGTAGAATTGACTCTCACTCTCTCACCTTTACCCCACAATTTCCCCAAAACCAAATCCTAGAGGTAAATTGATAGTCATGAAATGAACGAACGGCCTTATACCACCAGCACTACTCGTGGGTAGCGGATACATCATTTGAAAGAGGTGGTTACACACATAAAGACCACATTGCCGCGAATCAATGAAACAGAATCCCTCAGTCTGTTCACCGAAATTATCGGATTGCCATCAATACCTAGGCATATGTCACAGCATTCGCTACTTTCTCATAAGGTGGACTACATTCAGTGATTACCTCATGCATCTGAATTCTGGCCACGGGAAGTTTGCCAGGACAATCAGGTGACGCGAGAATGTTTGATAGAGATCCATGGATTATCATGATCGTGATCAGGCTCCAGCTTCACCTGTCAGTTGAGACCAACTCAGCCTCTAATGCTCCACCCACCAGTCACATGATTCATGACCCTCCCCTCTCCTCCGCTGGCTTACTAGGTATTTAAGTGTCAAATCAAGCTCATGTCCCTCAGCATTGTTCCATTCAACATTCATATCTTTTGACAATTAGAGGTAGTGCTACTTACAAGATTTCTTCATCTACTGTTACAACTGGCTCCGATACTAAGAAGCTACCGCACACTTTGTGGTATTATGTTGGGGTAGGCTGGATCATTGAGCATTGAGCATTGAGCATATGCAGGTTATATATCCTGTACGGCATTCAAAAATCTTTGTTTCTATCCTACATCATTCCTTTTGGATTCATTTTTCATTTGTGCCGTATGGCAGTCCGTGAGCGTAATTCTTACTCTTGTATAGTGTGTTTAAATATTTGATTATAAAGGATCTAAAATCCCTTCATCATAGTTACTCAAAAACATTCAACATCCACCGAACAGTTCAAAGACTCAAGAACATATTTTCATTGAAGTCTACCTACAAACAGAATGCCCGAATCTAATTTATCATCCAGCTGGGAAGATATCTTCCTATGTTATCCTATCTTCGACAACATTTGTACCCATTTGGATCCTAATGAAATTCTATTGCTCCGAGCGACTACTAAACAGCTTTTTCCATTATTTGAATCGCTTTTCAAAACTCAATGGAATATTAATCGCCAGCTCAAACGATTTATTGAGGACCCTATCAGATTCCGATCTAAGCTAGCTACATACAATGCTCTTATATCTGGAAGCTTTGCCTTGCAATTTTTTGAAAAGAGATTGTGGAAAGAATCCGACCTAGATATCTACGTGAATGGCTCGGATGATTCAGGAAGCCACGATCAACTTGACAAGTATTTAGTCAACAGCGAAGGCTACAAACTACAGGCTGCAAAAGAGGATGAAGGTAATGACTTGCAATCTTATGTAGGCCGCTTGTCAGATATCTTAGAGGTATTTAGTATCTCAGCCACAAACTTTCAACATATGCTTACATGAAAATAGGTCAAAACCTACCTCAAGATAAACCTTACTGAGGAGAAGCCACTTCAAATCCAATTGATCTTTACAACCGATACTCCTTGGGAAGCAATCATAAATGGCTTCAACCATACGGTTGTTATGAACGTTATCTCGTGGAACTTGGCTTACTCGTTCTTTCCTCGTTCAAACTTCATCGACAGAACTACCTACGAGCTCAAGGGGACCGGTAATACATATTCCATACCCAATGGAAACCTCGAAGATAATGTTGAAAAATATAAACGCAGAGGGTGGGGATGGGAGAGAGCAATGACTTACGGTGAACGGCGAAGACTACGTTCATTAGAATCTTCTTCCAGCCTGAACGAGATTGAAGATCAGTCAGAGATATGGACCATCGCACTGGACACGCATGGTATCAATAATGAAGGACCTTTGATAGGATGTGAACAGTCTGTTAGCAAGGAAGCAGACAGGGTTTTAGAAGATGAATTGCGAAGAGCTGAGATAGAGCAGGCCGAAGTGGATCAGCATATCATTGATGAATTAGAGGTATTCATTGCTGAGATTGAAAGTTCTGAGAGGGGACACGCGAACCTAGACCAATACCTTGAAGAAGCGGACATGTTGGGCAGGGTCAAGAATGGTTGGATCGAGTTCGGTTTGTGCCTCGAAGACGAGGCAAAGTCATTAGTCAAATAGCATGTGGAATACGAGTGAGAAAAAGCCAATTCAGGGAGGCTACTTGAATAGCAGAGAAATCAAGAAGAAAAGACGATACATCTTACAACAAAAGAAAAGACGGGCTTAAGTCCAGTACCGTTCGAATTTTCATGGCACAAATCGCAATAAATTCTTTTAATTATAGGCCAAGTCACTTTATTACTGGGGTGCCTTGATAGACTGGACATAGCTTTTCTTGAGAAAATTAAATGACGATGCAAGTCCAATATCGGCGCTTTGAGTGAAAGGTGGGCGTCGTGAATGAATTGAGGGACAAATCCACATGTACAAACCCGTCAACACCGCACTCGCTTCTGAGCTCCCGAAGTTATTTGGAAAAACTTGTCTACAAAATTATGTGTCTACTGTAGCAAGAGTATCCCAACAGGCAGTTGCACCCCGAAGCATTTAATGAATATCCCCTTCCAAAGTCTAACTTTCATTTTTTAACCTGAATACAAACGGTCATCGAAAAGAACGACTCCCTTTGCACTGTAAGCGAGTTTTCATACAGGAGAAGAAGAGTGAGGCCAGAGAATAGTCGACATACATTGCACTTCAGAATTGCCGAACGGGGAGATTGGCCGCTCAAAGGAGCTTGGTGGCAAGGAAAAAAAACGTAGTCGCAAAGCCTGTCATCGTGCTAATACACCTTGACTACTCTCACGACTGATTGGCAGTGGAAAATACGTCATTCACACCCTCATCTTGTTCTAGTCCACAAACTCGACCCGTCACTAAATACGCAATAATCAGTTTCAGTTATTTGTGAGGTAATCTCAACTCAGATCGCCTTGGTTCGAGTGATTTGGCCTCATGTAGAAAGGAGCCGTCTCGGAATGACCTGTTCAAGATTTTCAATGAGGTAATCATTGCTAACGTCTACTTCGGTCTCCAAAAGCTCTGGATGAAGCTTATGTATCATTCAGAGCTCTGAGAAAGACTAGCCAATAGAACAAAGTGAACTGATCCGAACATACTCAAATAGTTCATTCGGTAATATGCATCAGCAAAACCTCCTGCCGGTTCGAAGGGATTGCTACACCCTTCATAGTCTGCTATTTGGTTGACAAGGATACATCCACCCCATAAGATACAAGGAAGAAAAACGATATGGGGCAGCAAATGCGCAGATCTGACAAAGAAATATAGAGGGAACACCTTTTCATAGTTGTGGATTGGAACTTTAAGGGCGTCTACTGACTCCACGAGTTCCACATTTTGGATCTATTGCACCGGGAATGCCAGACTCAGACGTGTTACAAATTCTATCTAGCTGAGTTACGTTTCATTGTTCTTGGAATCAATCGAATAAATTCCTCTTCTCGTATGGCTGCGTCTCATTATCGATGAAGTGCGATAACCGTGGTAAAATCTTCATTGAGCTGCGTAAGATTCTGAGTACCTCCGGGCATCCTGAAAACTAGCTGCTCTGCAGGTAACGTGGCGCGGCCTAATCACCATCGACGAATATCAAGTGTGAAACGACCATATTAACATAGTTTCGACACTGATTAACTGGTAGAGACTGATTGATGGCCGAGGTCTCAATTCTTGTGAGTTTAACCCGCCCCGATTCCCCAACTAGAAACACCCAGAGAAAAGGAAAAACAGTGCCCATTTTCTCACTGCTATTATATGAAATATCAGCTTCAAGGCATTCAAAAGCAACCAGACAGTAATAGCAAGTCTAAGGAAAGGAAAGGAACTGAGGAGGTTAGCGCTAATTCATTTTCAAGAGCTCATTTCTAAATATAGGTTACTCGCAGAAATCATATTGGATCGACGTTACTTCGAAAATTTGGCTAGCAATGACGAGGAGGAAATTTCTCTGAGGCACAATGATTGCATAAGTTCTAAGCAGAGTCTGAAGTTCGCGCTTGAAGGAAACGGGAATAAGTTACCATCTCCAGGTATAATGTCCCCCCCCATATATCCTTACAAGAATAAATCTCCCATATTTATGTACTCGCCATCATGTTTTGCGTTTTTACAACGCAAAATAAAAGATGCATGCCATCCCAATACAGCTATGATGTAATCACCGGCCTTCAATCCCTGTCGCCCAACCCCACACTTCCTATCAAGAACAACAACGAAGCTCTTGTTCCTACACCATGGTGATAGATTCGAAACATCTGCGTCCGCATTCCCTTTCTCTCTCTAAGTGACCGACTTTTCCAAATCTCCCGAAATATGGAACAAATTCTGATCCCAGACTTTTATATGGAGCGATCTTTATATCCGCCAGTGTCAACTCTTGGAATCCCTTGATCTTCTATGGCGCTGGATACGGAATTAATCCATGGAAACTGCTATGGTTGATAATATCTACAAATGATTGACTTGCCATAATATCTCGACGGCATGTAGAATAGAAGAACAGCGGTTGTTCGCATGAGCTGTTGGGAGCAGGAATGGAATTGAATTTATGTGGAGACGATTTCAGTAAATTCATGGCCGGCTTTGATGACAGGCCCAAGGCGGATACCCTTGGCATCAAAACATGATTTAGGAGCACGCGGGTATCGATGACGCTGCCGGTTGTTGAAATACTGAAGGTATTGTGGGGTAATCAACCCAGTCCATTCGGATCTTATCTGCTATACCTTCGTTTACCCATTCGGAAACAATGAAAGATTTTGTGGTATAAGAAGCTTTATTCAAGGCAAGGAGGCTGAGATTCTTTTCTTCGATAACGATGAATGTGGAGAAATTTCGGAAGAAAGCGCAAGGTTCGAGGGAGTAGTGGGGGGTGACTCGGGTCTTTGTATCAGAGGAGTCCATTACGAGCAGGTTTTAAACAATATCTCGTGGGTCTGTGGCTTTCTCGAGTTGACGGCAAATGAGTGTTTAGTGTAGAGTTGTAAGATTTTCCTCGTTGATATAGTTCTTCTGTACTGTTGGAATAGGTCTAATTTTAAGAAATCACCATCAGAGGTGCCCAATTACGATTCAATAGGATAAATTTGCTATGAGGAGGTCTTCTTGATTCAGTTCCTCAAGAATGCTATCCATATTTCTCCACAACATAGAGTCGCTTCCATGGTGCAAGACCACTCGCTTGGCTGGTAAAACTTCTTCTAACATCCAAGACGTCTGGTAGCAATGCTCCCTGGCAGTTTTGCGGAATGCATCGCTATCCTATAAAATACAATTCGAGAAAAGGTTCGCAAGGATCTGTTGGCTAGATCCACTCTAATGTGCACAGTATTTTGCGCATCTTGGGGTTCATTGTGCTCTTCTCCAAGTCATGTGAGCACAATCACAGCCCTATGGTGTGTCATTCTCACCCGCGCAACCTGTTCATTTCACTCCGGAATATACTGTTGCTTAATATAAAGATCATCAACCTGAAATGTCCTCTTCTCTTATCTTCGCCACTGAAGAATTGATTCAAGGATGACTCGAAGTTATTCATCTGTGAGTTTACATATCTGTCAAAAATGCTAGTCTTTTTCTAGGTCAGTACATTAGTTCCATTGCATCGAATGTAGGAGAGAGAATCGTATTAGAGCTTCTGGCCAAGCGATCTATGGCTCAGAGTATAGCTCCTCTGGCCATTGACCTTAGGGTTCAGACTTGCGAAGAATTTATATCTTGTTCCGACTATGGTCTACAAGTCTGCATGAATAGTCATTAAATGACAAAAGCAGAGAGCGAAGCACAAGATTGACAAAATAGACGTTTCCGGTGATGGTCCGTTAGTAAGTTTTCACCGTTCTTCACTTCCCAGTTCCAGATCTCTTTTTGAATTAATGCTCCATTGTTCACGAAGATCCAATGTCCTACAATTCAAAAGAGTTAGTGGCTTGCGACAAAAGATTTAAAAGAAAAGATGAAAGTGAGATAGAGGGCTTATAGGTTTTCTCAGAAGACTAAGTTGCAAGAAGGCCTCGAAAATCAGCGATTTTAAGCCACCGCATTCGCACAAAGCTATGTTGTACACTCTGTGACGCGTGCTAACAATAGCGATATTGCGGATAGAATAAGAACTTCCCAACTTTTCAATTATAATATCAAGGATGCAATGTTCAATTCCAGCTCTGACATCGCTCAAAGTGAGTTGCGAAGCGGGAGAAGTAGTTTGTGCTTATACTCACACGATTCCCATTTTGATATCGAGGTATGAGCAAAAAATCCGAGATTCATTCACAGTGATTCTATTATTGTGAAAATCCATAATAAGTTTACTAAATTACTTATTAATATCTTACTAATTAAGAGATATCTTGATGACTAATATATATATAATCTGATTTTATATTATAAAATTATATTAACGTGGTTTATTATTGAATAGGCCATATTATCAAATAGATTACTTTTCCCTTAATTTATATCTTTAACTTCTATATACAATTTATTAATCAATTATTATAAAATTAATTAATTAAAAAACCCAAATCTTTTTTATTATCAAAACTATTTATAAAATAAAAAACTAAGTATTCGAAAAGCTTTTAAACTTTATAATATTCTTTATATAATTTCTCAGTATAAAATAAATAATTTATTATTTTATACAAAAATTTGAGTGAATTATTATAATATTATAAAATTAGAAAAAGAAATAATTATTTAATATATTCTTGATATAGATTTGAAAGATTTTTTATTTAAATTAAAAAATATAGAAGATATGGTAAATTATATTCTTGAATTAAGGGATACAAAATGTATTGAGAAGTTCTAAGTATATTAATTTATAAAGTGTTGAATCAAATTAAAAATATATTTTAGTTATATTTATAATTTTTAAAGAGTTTTTTATAAAAATTCTAAATTTATTGAAGAATAGTTTTAATTGATTATGAATATATAAGTGAAATATAGTATTTTGGATAATGATTTTTATAATTTCAATAAAACAAACTTTATAATAAATATATAATACTTTAAAATAATTCTAATTAATATTAAACGAAATAGTAGAAGTAAGGTAATATAATCAGATAATAAAAAATAAATTATAGTAATTATATATAATAATAAGAAAAATGAAATTATATCCCCATTTCTAATAATTCAAGAATAAATTCATTTTTCTAATTAATATATCAAAACCGATTTCCCTATAGATTAGATTATTAAATCTATATTTAATGAATGAACAAATAATAAGATAGATTTAGAATAATTGAAATATTTTAATAAGTATATTAAAAACCAAAGAAAGAGTAGATATTAAATATTAATATTAAATGAATATAAAAATTATAAATCAAAAGTTTTTTAAATATATTATAAAAAGAATAATATTATATATTTAAATCTATTATTATATTTAAATTATTTAATTTAATTATTTGATATAGACTGTTTTAATAATTTGAAATGTTTATATAATAATCAAATTAATGGATTTATTAAGATATATATTAATTATATTTCGAAAATTAAATTTTTTATAGTTTTTAAAATTATATATAAAAAATCAATTATTTCTTAAAATATAAAATTAAGATTTTGAGGAATAGGTTTAATTTTATTTAATTCTAAAACTATATTTTTGAAATTAGATATTCGAATTTATATATCTATTCCTCCCTTTTTTAATCTAAATTAATAAATCTTTTAAATCTTTTATAATTTAATTGAAACTCTTTTTTAATCAATATTAATTAAATCTTGAATAACTTATTATTAATTAAACTTTTCTATACCTATATTAGAGATTATATTAATTTTAACTAGAAATACAAAAAGATTGGCTTATAAAAATATATTTTTAAATGTAAAGATTTATATACTTTGAATAACAAATAAAATATTAAATAAATATTAATATATAAAAAAAACTTAATTATATCAAGAGAAAATACTTATTGAATAAAAAGCTTTTGATATATTATTTCAATAAAAAATTAATATTCAGATTTAATGTGATAAATATCAAAAAAGAAGGAATTCTAATAAGAAAGTATCTCCTAATTAATATTATAATAAATATAGAAAAATTGAATATAATATAAGAATTTATCAAAATAATATAATAAATTCTAGATTATTAGAATTTTCATAATTTTAATTAATTGATTTAATAATTATTAAATAATATAGATGTAAAAATATAAATTAAGGGAAAAATAGCTCACTCAATAATATAGCCCACTCGATGATAAATCACGTTATTATATAGTTATATAATAATATCTTTTATTAAATCAGTTTATAATAAAATAAAATTAAATAGAAATATATAGAAGATTATTATTAAATTAATTAGATTCGATCGATTGTACTTTCTTTATTATATAAAATGATTCTATAGGATTTGATTTAAATCAATCTTATTTATAAGTATAGAATATATTAGAATTTCATTATAAATTATATAAATCATAGGATATTCTTTAAAGAAAATCTAGAAAAATTAAGTAATTTTATTTCAAATAAGTTTATCTCTTATAAATTGACTTCAATTCAACTCTAATATATATATTCGATTTGTTTCTAAGCTTAAAGTGACTAAGTCTTCCACTATTAATAGAATATTAATACTATTATTATATTCTAAAATTAACCTCCAAGAATTATGACGATGCGAATCTGATGAACCGGGACTTCAACCATGCAAGCTTGAAGTAAGTTGCAAGCTAATTAATTCGATCTTGATCAATCACTTTTTCCTCTACAAAATCTGTCAGCTGCCCTTGATGCTAAAGAAAAACGGCTGAGAGAATCTTATAGCTTACTTGGCTATGTTTATACAAGAAAGGAGTATACAAATGACAAATTTACACAAGGAAATGAAGAATTTGAGAAAGATGACACGGTTAATATCATCACATCTTGATATGTCACCGCCAGAGTTCACGTAGTTGTGTTCTACGGAAGGCATAGAAAACAAGAATAGTGGTTATCATAGGTTGCTTCATCACAATATAATTCATTCGCATCAAGAGACACCACTTCTAGAGTCCATGTTTCATTTTGGGTCCAAAGATTTTCAGAGCTCTGGATTGTTCATTTTTTGAACACGGTTAAGGAGGCAAGGCATTTGTACATTGTAGAATCATTCCATTCTTTCGAAAACTGGTGTTGATTCAGGTATGAGTAGGTCTTATGAACGACTTCGCCTTGGAACTACTTGAGGGTGAAGTGCGGGCGCAGAAAACAAAAGTTTGTTTTTTCATGAGTGACCAGTTTGAGTTGTTCCATTCAAACAACACGTAAGTAGGTCTTGTGGCAGGAGATATTATCACCATCATCCTTCTTGCGTCCCCTTTTTACCTCCACGACAATTTCACAATATCAATCATTTCTTTATGTTTTGCAATTTTAAAGTGGCGATGACAGGAAAGATATACATCAGTGGCAGCTGGAAAAAGATTCCACAAAATGAAACCTGTTATTAACTCTTACCTTCGAAGCCGAGTGCGAATTCTATGTAACCATAGTTTCCATTCCAACTCATCGTGATACTCGTGTTCTTGGATTTTACTTATCCCAATGATACCTTCGAACTAGGCTCCTCGTAAATTTCGGGTTTAGGCCCCGAAAGCTAGTCAGTTATGGCCAGCCTTAATGAAAATCACTAGAAATTCCAGTTCCTACCAGCTCGTTTGAGGAAGTCCAATCTACGGGTCGACCTACCGAGAGCCTGTCTTCAAGGTCTTTGTTTTCAAGTACAATGCCTCTGGCAGTTTTGACACACCCTTGCTAGAGATCCTTTCCCTTGGAGATCAAAATCAGAGCCCACCATTTTCGATTTAATTATAGCCTCTATTCTGATCGACCATCGACCTCATAAGCGACGGAATGAAAGTAACAGATTTTGGACATGGAAAACACACTTGAGAGATCAAAAAGATAACAAAAACAATATGACATGGAAAGTTAAATTAAGCTGAATATAGCTGAGCATAGATCAAGGAAGAAATAATTTCAATTAAAAGAGTAGGGTGTGCTTCCGGTCATCTAAGAAAAGTGAATCATTCGTTGTTCATGTTATCATTGACAACTGTGTACAAATTTGGGTCTTATATCCGGTGAACTACATAATTTTTATTAGCTGACAAGTAATAGTTTTCACTGACGACTCTAAGAGTTGGGTTAACTGGTATTCAGATCTCCGTTCCGTTTGTGTCAATTTCTAGGGATATGTATACATTTTGATTCTGGCAACTTGATGCTGGCTTCTTTCAGCCCCAGTTCCATAAGAGTTACTCGGCAGATCTGAGGCATGAATACTTCAAATAAGGTTAGAAATTCCCAACATCTAGCTCACTCCCCTCAAAACATATATCTCCGTAGCAGCAGTCCCAGGACTAAGCATAATCCAAATCAATCCATTCATTCATGTTTGGTATTTCTAAGATATGCATTGCTTTCTTATCAGAAAAAAGCTGGTGTGTTGAACAGGGAGCTTCTGACTGTATCAATTCAAAAGAAAATCTTCTCCCAGACGGGACAGAGAACTTGCAGCTTATGGAGAGAGTTTAAAGAAGAACGCGGACCAAACTTGGGCGTTCAAATAAAATTCCAGAAACCAGCAGAAGTTGTCAATTAGTTGATGGATGCAAAACAGTCGGCGGTTTTGGAATGAGCGGAGTTGATTGCATAAAGATAAAAACTGTCAAAAATCTTCCAAGCCAAAGATTGTCACAATCAAAGGTCCTAAGATTCATCTTCAAGTTTTCAAAGCTCATCAGAACTTATTGGCTTGAGGCAGAATATTCATATTGAATGACGGATCTCGATCGTTGATGAGTACCTTCGAACACCCACTTTCCAAGAAGATTGAAGACAACGGAGGGATTCTATCTTGTCATACAACCAGAAGCAGCTGCAAGTTAATGAGCCATTACTTCTTAACCTGAAATATTTCTTCAGCCATATCCCAAGGGTATGTCGTCAACTATTGACATCTATTTGGGTGGTGATCCTGGGCCGTGGCGGCAGATGCAGCTCTATATAAAATCAAATAACGAAAGAATCCTGATTTTGAGCTTTGTGAAATACATTGGATTATATTATCCACTGCACTCCAAAAAGGTTCTCACCCCTTTTCCAATATTTAAATTTCGGAGAAAGTTCATGATCCAATATTTTAGGAGAGTAGGGTTTCGGAGATTATCGGAGATTATGACTTGAGATCACGTCGGGAAAATGGCTTTCAATCACCAAGGAGATAATAAAACTCAAGTAGTGCTACTTCATCAATGATATGTATTATTAGGACACAAACATTGGAGCTGATCTCTAATTCCGTGGAAATGAAGTGTATAAGATGGTTCGAATACCAAACTGCAGCCTCTCCAACCAACTTTTATCGCATTGTGTCCTTTGAAAGAAAACGCATTGGAATATAAAACTCATAAATATAGGCTCAAATTGCTTGTCTTCTTCGGCCTCCAAGTCCTAACCCCAACAAACTGGGTTCCTCGTGATCTCAGCTCAAGATAATGAAAGAATTATTATGTTTGAAACCCTGAAAAAAATAAAAATTGTACGAGACATGTACTGATGAAATTCAAGAAATTTCGGTCTAGAGAGCCTCATAGTTAGTGAATTAATGTTGAGGTGCCATGTTTCCCTCTTCTGCCTTCGAGGACGGGGAACTGTCTTTGAACAAATTCGTTCCTGATTCGTGGGATGCCTTTTTGAATATTCTTTTGACCACTGTATATGTACCCTTGACTTTTTCTTTGACATTTCCTAGTCCAAAGGCGGCGTAGATCATGAGTGGAAGAATGACACCAGCAGAAACAGAAACTTAAAACATAATTACCTTACAATTATCAAGAAACGAATGGGGAGGAAGCTAAAAATGATGGGGAAGATCCAGCTTGGTTCATATTCAATATCTCCATCGCTATTGTGTTGAAACACCGTTATGTTCAATGAGAATAGCGATGTGAGGAAAGACAAGGGCGTCTGGCACATGGATCAATACAAGAATCAAATTACTCAAGCAATAGAACTTACGAAAACCACAGTTACAATGGTAAAAACAATCAAAACCTTGCCTTCGCGAGAAGCCTTCTCATTAAGCGTTGTAAGGAGAGCAGATTCTTCCGCCAGCTTTCGAGAAAGTACAGCTTCCATGATGTTGATACTATTTTGCTCGAGATTTAATACATCATGAACCTTTTCTCAAATTAGTTGATGCTATCAGGCAGCTACAGGATTTCTTCACTTGCCAATTTTCGATTCCTTTCGGCCATTTCGATCATTTCTGTAAGCTTGTTTAGTATGTGAGTAGGGCCCCAAGAACTGTCTTTTCCAGACTCTAGCCCTACGAGCTCTAGCCAAACATGTTGTTGCTGCGTGAGAAGAGGTTTTAAGATCATTAGTTCGTGAAGTATATCTTTAATCTCGCCCAAAAGAATGGTTGCCTCGCTGATTGAACTCCAATTTTCACCTTCTTGGATATCCTTATCTATTTTCGAATCTGGTTCTTTGATGTCGCTCTCTTTCTTCTTTTTCTCCATTTTCTTTTTGAAAAGCTGAAATAATTTTCTTTCTTGAGCCGCCTATATCAAAGGTGAATTGAGATCATGATAAATTTTTTGAAGAATAATGTCTACGATGGGGTGGCACAAATGCCGGTGAACTTACCACATTATCAATTGCTTCCATGTACAACAATTGTATAGACTTTGAAGCAGCCTCTTCCTCCCAAAATCGTATCGATGGCGGAGCATCTTCGTCCCATCTTAGACTATTGATGAAATCTACGCAGAATGTTACGAGGAAACGGCTCAACTCTTCGACAGAAGATGTTGGGGATTCCCCATTTTTTATCTGCTTTGCTTCTTGCAATAGGCGAAACATTTTCCCGATCACTGGGTTGTCAAACCCGTCCGGTCTGTGAGTAGATGAAGTGATGATGGTCTCTATACGCCCCAGAGAGTTAAAATGTTTCCCAACCCCGATGTAAGACAGGATGGACAGTCAGAACTTGCCTTCATCGATGATCCAAAGCCAGAGCTGATCTACAACGAGATACGGTCACGTTCCTTTTGATTCATCCACAGCGTCCCCATTTTTTATCTCAAGGAACGATCTGGTAACAACCTGACTTTGGTCGCGCAAAGACACGTCCGCTAGGGAATGGTAGTAAAACTGATCCAAAGATCTTGTTCCATGGATAACCTTGTCTTTGTAAACTTCCATGAGATTGTTATAGCTTTTTCGGAATTTGGGAGGGTCGATGTAAATTTTGGGTTTAGTGTCTCTTTGATGGCAAGAACCAATTGTAATGTATGGCATCTGTGAAGTTAGCAAAAATCTTTTTGAACCTAGAGAAACTCACATAGAGGGCTACTCTTTCAAATGTATCTATGTAAGAGCGTCAGCACTGATTAATGCCCCTTGACAACCTGTTCTGCGGTGCCTGCAAGGCAGCGGAAACTGCCACCACCACTAGGGGTGTTTTTTGTACATTGTGATGTTGCCATCCAATATATCTCGACTGCAACGTGAAGAGCTTACCATATTTGGGAATTTCCTTGCTTTCTAGCTTCTCTTCAGCCTCTTGCTGTACAAATGGCTTATCGTCTTCTTGATCTCCCTTTATATTCGTATTCCCTTCAACTTCTGATGTAATAAGATCTCCTTTCTCATGATTCTTGTATCTCCGCTTTGTTGAACCTTTCTTCAACTTCATGTCAGACATATCCTTATTGTGCCGTTGTAAACTTACCAAATAAACAGGTTTCATGAGCCTTGTTCAACCTTACTTGTCGGGAGTTCTTGCCAGCTCTTTTGAAGGAGGTTGCTCAAAGATGACGACTCCGAAATTTCCATTTTTTTATCTTTGCATATTCGCTTGGTAAGGTCCTAGGCCAGATGATCAATATCAGAATCCTTACTAAAACTCCTGAGATTCTTACCTTCATCCATTCTATCTAAATTACAATTTTAGCGCCATTTGAACTTGTTTGGGTGGGACATAAATACATTATTTGCCGGCAAGTGTATCCACCGCATTCCAAAGTCTTCTGCCCTGTAAGTCTTCTCTCTCGCAGTCTTGAGGGCTATATTCAAGGTTTCTCTGGCACTCTCCATAATATCTTCGGGGCCATGTCCTTTTTTCGTTGAGTAAATCACATTGTAAACGTCGCGTCTGCGCTGCAGTAGGTCGAAACTTCCGTCTCGTTGATAAAAGTCTACAATGCTAGCCTTGTGAAGTTTAAGTTCTTCTTGCAAATCGCTCCGCAGATTTTTCTTGGTGGATCTTCGTCATTTGGATTTGCAAGTACGGCAAAAAACGGAGGTGGGTCATCGAGCAAATCTATTGTGATTTGATATGATTCCAAAGAGGTTCGGAGTTCATTTCCTGCTCCTTGGGATTTGGATTTCATCTGAATTTCATTTCCAATTACTCCAAATAACCCTTTCTTTTGTTGCGCAACTTTTCTTCCAGTTTCCTTTATGTCTTTCTTCATCGAGTCTTGAACGTCATGTGACACACTCATCTGATCAAGATGTGCTGCTTTCTTAATCCTCTCGTCTTTGTCTTCCTTTGGCTTGAGCTTTTCTTGTTCCCAGTTTCTTTCCTTTATGGCTATATCTCTTGCTTTCTCAATGTTATGTTCCGTTTCTTTATTAGGCAAAGAGCTTTGCAAAAGCCACCACACAATCTCATGATACCCACCAAATGCAGCCCATTGCAAGGGGCTTTGGGGCGAGCATTGGCCACTCCGTTTCTGATCTACAATTTCTTGCTTCAAAAGACCAATAATTCCGCTTTTCTGAAGCTTATGTGGTGGTATAATCGTGTCCCACAAGCCGATCGTCCCCATGAGGTATTTGAAGTCGTCTTCGGTTACTGCCCATTTTACTGTGTTTATCAGTTCCTCTCTACTAGCAAAGCTCCGCTTCTTCAAGACTATGAGTATTAGATTCTGTGATTTCCGAGTTTGCGTCATTCCTACGCTTTATAAGGGACCGAACGAGTAAAGACCATGCGCCCGGACGCTTTCCCCCTGGCAGATTTTTCATTTTTGTTTCTCTCTTCAGGAGTTTTTGTATGACGCCAACTTTGCCGTTCAAGCAGGCAAGGTGCAATGGAGTCTGCTTGTTACTGTCCTTTGCTTCAACATTTACTCCATTCTTTCCAAGCAGTTTATCCACTATCTTCAAATGCCCCATCTCACAAGCTATATGAAGAGGTGTCTTGTCATTTTTACCAGAAGCATTAACTTCAACTCCAGTCTGAGCGAGTAAGATATTAACCACATTCAAATAACCTCCTTCAGTAGCGATATAAAGAGGTGCCCGCTCTTCAGAGTCCTTGGCATTTATATCCACTTCAGGTGCTTCGACAAGCAACGGTAATATCGCATCTCTTCTATGATTCAACATGACCTCGTGAAATGCTGTCCTCTGACCATTCCGAGACTTTGAGATGTCCGGCTGATAATCTAGAATATTTGACACCATGTTTGCGTCTCCATAGCGGGCCGTAAGTATGAGAGGAGTATCTCCATCATCGTCTTGAGCATTCACATCGGCCCTTGCTTCCAACAGCTTGGAGACAACTTCCGCCTTGGAATAGTAGGAAGCTATTGTCAAAGCTGTTGATTTGTCACTGCTAGAAATGTTTACAGCAGAGTTTCTGGAGAGCAACACATCAATGATGTCCGAGTCTCCGCGTTCAGAGGTGCGCATTAGTGCAGTCCATCCATTCTTGTCTTGAGTATTTACATCAGCCCGTGCCTCCAACAGTGCAGAGACAATTTCCGCCGTGGAATATCCGCAGGCAATGATCAAAGCTGTTGATCCCGCATAGTCCGAGATCTCCATTTTTGGTTTCACAGATAGTAAAAAATTGACATTGGCCAGATTATCGTTCATACAAGCATGCATTAGGGCTAGTTTGGATGTAAGAGTTGAGGCCCCGGCTTATCGCACACCACCCATTTTTCGGTCTAATTTTTTAAAATTTAATAATAAATCAATCACACAATGTAATCTTATAAAACTTGAGTATTATATTAATAAATAATAATTAATCCTTATACTTCAATTATATCTTCAATCTTGCAAATCAATCTCTCAGTATATAGCCTGAAATCTAAAGAATCCACTCTATCCTAAAAAGTTTGCAATTTATATTTCAATTCCTTTATAGAAATAAGTATAAATAATAGCTTTTTTAGTTCCTTTTTTATTCATTATTATACTTTCTTAATTAGATTAAGATCTGAAGAGGAAGGTAATTAATCAAAGCTTTATATATTATACTTCAATTGAGCTCTATAAATATATTTGAAATATATCTTAGAATTATTTTTTATAAATATATATTTAGATTCTAATTTATTGAATAACAAGAATATAATAGACTCAAGGATTTATTGTATATATATTTTGAAGATAATATTTTTATTATTTTCAAGTTTTTTCAAAAAGATTAATAAAGATTTATAATTCCAGCTGATTATATCCCATATTATTATTAATACTCTTTCTGATTAATATATTAATTTAATATAATTAATATATCTCTTTTTATTAATTTATTTAGTAATCTATATTCTATTTGTTTTTTCTAGTTTAAAAGTACTTTTATTTGATTATATAACTAATCTTCAATCTCCTTCTTTTAATTTAGTAATAGTAGTATTACTAATTTCCTATTAATAATATTTATATACAAAATCTAGTTTTTTTTTTACTTGTATTCTTGAAATAAAAAGTTTAGAATATATTATATACTTTTTATATTTATATTAATACAATTCCTTTTAAATTGTATATATCGAAACCTCAATGCCAAGCACATTTTTAATCTATTTGAAAATCATTCTTTTTTTGCTCTAATCTTTAATAATTGTTTTTATAATTCAATGAATTTCTTTAATAATCATTATAGGCTTTTAATAAGCTTTCCCTTTTCGAATTCTTTTAATTGAATTGGATTTAATTATATTTCTTATAGTAGATTGTAATATATCTAAATTTGAGGCAATTTATTCCCAGGATTTTCTATCAATTCTAGTTTGAATGATTTTAGAATATCGAGAAGTATATCAATTTTAATGAAATTTTACAACTATTATTTTTGTGATTATATTTAATATCCATTTTGAATTTGAATCGAAAATAATGAATTTTAGAATAATAATTGAATTTTTAAAATAAGGTATGCGAAATTAGGTGGCTACTCTAATCTCGCTTAAATGTGCGATAAGCCGGGGCCTCAACTCTTACAAATCCGCGCTGAATCCACTGAATATTCCGTGCTTTTTGAAAGCGGATTTTGAATTTATATTTGAATATTAAATCGCGGATTTTATCGAATAATTCGTATTTCAATAAATTTAGTATATTTTGAAATAGGGAAGAGGTAGGTTATTCTAAAATGATACTAAATAATCCGTGTTTTTTAATAAATTTGTATGGGAAAATGAAAATGTGGATTGAAAACGAGGACTAGAAAAAGCTAGCCTCATTAAATCCGCTGAAATAATCCGTTCTTTTTATAGATCTCTATAAGCTTTAAAGCCTAAAGTTTTAATATATAAAGCCTGAAGTTATAATAGATAAAGCCTAAAGCTATAGGTTTATTTTGAATTAGAGTTTATAATTATATATAAATTTAAATAAAATTATTCCCATATTCACTTATTTAGCTATTCAAATAGCAATAGTATATTAAAAATTCGAATTACTTTATTTAGTTTATATATATATTATATACATACTCCATTTTCTTTTATTTTAATAAATTATTTAATGAATTTGATATATAAACTATAAAACTATAAATTAATAATCCATTCTTTTTGAAGCGGATTGCTATTACCGCGGAATCTGTAATGGTACAAAAAACGGATTATTTCAGCGGATTCAGTACGGATTTTGCAATCAAACAAGCTCTTAGTGCAGTTCGCCCCGTGTCGCTCCTGGAATTTATATCTGGATGGTTTTTCTTGATTAAATAAGTGTTCAAGAATATCTATAGATGCTTCTTCAGACATGGCTGAGATCAAGGGTGTCCACCTATCATTGTCTCGGGCTTCAATATTCGCTCCTTCAGCCAGAAGGAGAGGAGCTATATTCTTATGGTCGAATCGGCAGGCTAAATGAAGCGCTGTTTCGCCATACTGGTTTCTTGTTTCAATTTCGGCACCTTCACCAAGTGCCCTTTCAACTTCTTCTTTATCCCCGTATCGAGCTGCCACGAGTAGTCTTTCGTTGGTTTCTGGTGAAGGCTTCCAAAGCGATTCAGTTCCATCATTATGTTCATGCCCATCTTCCTTTTCAGGAACCTCAATTTCCATTGTAGCAGTGGGTGACTTTTCATTTAAGGGGGCTGAATTTCCGACAAGACTTTTTGCTGTATCACTGGTTTCTCCGTCTTGCTTGACACCGGTACTAGACGTGGGCCTTGTATCACCTGTTAAATAATTTGGTTGCCGTTCATTCGAATCCTCAAAGGTATCGCCAGTGTTTGATGATGACTCTTGAGGAATTTCAAGGCTTTTCAAGGATTCATCTTTCCACTGTTCAACTGAAATCGGGGCGCTAACTTGGGTGCCATGAAGTGGTTCTGATGCTTCCTGCTCATGCGGTGAAATCGTCTCTTCACTCTTATGACCTGAATCGTTCGAGGTCAGATCGGCCATACTGATATGATTGATTTGTTTTCGATTCAACTTTTCATAAAGGTTTGGTATGGAGGTAATCGACTTTCAAAACTTAATGATCTGAAGAAAAAAACATGTTCCCACCCAGCCAGCTTATGCCCCAGTGAAGTGTTATCTCAAAAACATCTCGCAAGGTATGCCTCAATTGAGAATACGACCCTGCATTTGGAACTGTGCAGATTCAATATCCCGTGTTTACATTTTTGACCATGAGCTGAATACGTTGAAGACCAATAGTATTTCATGAACCCCGGCAATCTTTTGCCGACCGGCCGATCTCGCCTTCTATATGCATCCCAGGGCCATATATGACTGTAACCTACAATAGGGACCCCGTGTTTGTAATATCGCTACTCTCACTCTGGACGCAAAAAACGACTCACCAAAGAAACAGTATCATTTCCAAAATTATCTTTTTAAATCCAAAATCAATATTTTGAATTTGAATTAAAGAATATTATTCATAAGCTTATAAATTACAATATATCTTCAATTTATCGACTTTAATTTATTTTATCAAATTTTTATTCAATTTTGAAATAATAGTGTTTTAAAGAAAACCTCAATTTTGGTGGGTTTGGCGTGCCGTTTTTTTCGTCCAGAGTGAGCCACTGTATTGGCGAGCTGGAAATTCTTAATCTGTAGCAGACTGGTTGATTTGTTAAACTGATGATCATTGTTGTTGTATGCCCAACGCATATAAGATTCGAGGCTGATCGTGATAGATGGATGAATTGAAGTGATTACAGGCTAATATAAACCCACACCCCATACCAGAGCTCATATCTCCACTAAAAGATATCTACCGAGCCAAAACTTATCGCAGATCAGCACAAACCCCACGATTGGTGTATTGAATCCGAAGAAATGTCATACCCGGTTGAAATAATACTAGCACTTTGGAACAATTGGGAACTTGTCAGTGTAATTATTTGATACAAGCCCCAAAGTCTGATTTCAGCCTCTAGTAATTTCCCCATTACACATGGATTGCTACGCATCTACGACGCGTAAAAACTGATCGATGTCCCGCTATTCGTTCTAGCCATTGAAAACAAGCTTTCAACATGGCTTGGACATCTACAGTCAATCTTTTATTTCAAGGAAGTTCTTGACGTGGATACTTTGAAGTCGGGTGTCGCGGTAATTACAAAGAGTTGACGAATCCCTCTGATTGAGTTCTTGAGATATTATAAATATGTTTTTTTACAAGAAATTCCCATCTAACTAAAATCAAACCCTCTAGCACTCAGATCCCTGGAGCCTGGGATTTCCAAACCAATCCCGAGATATATCAGCCTATGGTTGAGAGCGAAGGTCAAATGACAGGCACTGGATCGATAGTATTCGCATCGAAACTAAAATCCCCTTGCTGATAGAATCATGAGTCAAAACCTCAGGAATGTGTTTACTTGTTTAGGCTCCGTGTCTTGTCCGGCGGCTTATGTGAGTCGTGAACAGCCGTTGGACAATGTTGATCCAGAGCCCTTTGATACTGAGTCATCAAGAGAAAGCTTCAATAAAATTGTTATTTTTCGAGCTACCCACAAACAGCTAGGTAGTGACCCGTTCTTCTATGTCTTTATTCATCTGACAAGGAGGTCTCGAAGAGAATTGTAAAGGCCATGGACTCGGCGAGCAAGCTAGAATTTTGGCCAATGTCTGGTCTCGGATGTGATGAACGACATCTGAATGCTTGGAGCTCGTTGCATTCAATTATGAAATCGAGCTCCATGTTTGTTCAAGCGGAAAACGTAGAATAATCAAGGCAGCAAGCAGTTGATGCGATGCCGAAAGTTGTTGAAAATGACTCTGTTGAAGACTTGTCTTTTCCGTAGGTCTTCCTTTGACGAGTTCTCCAAAGACCAAAGCTGGCATAGGTAAAATTGAACCTGCATCTTGATCTTTTTGACACGAATAAGGTCTCTCTCAGGAAAGGAAAGATATCTTCTCGATAGGATGCTCTCTGACACTTCCCATGCATATGTCTCGTAATTTGATATCTTTTGCATTGGTACAGGATTTGCGAGAGATCTCATGGTCTATTGTACGAGAGAATACAAATCACCTTTGTTTAAATGGTCTGCGGTTGTGAGTGAACTTTGAATTTAATGTGGATTTGAGACAGCATAATGAGCAGAATCGGCACCTTTTGCTGTGTATGTACTATCAGCCGAGCAGGAATCCTGGTATATGACATCATGTAGGCCTTTGCTTGGAGTTTACGTTTTGCTCTATATCCAGGTCATCTATTGGATTGTAGCATTGTTCCATTTTAATTGCGAACGACGTTACATCACGGAAGATTCCTGGTAATTTAACACAGCTCAAGGGATACATTTCTTAAAGTTCTACATGTAAGTTGACACTGTTCCTAAAATGATCATCTACGCCCTAGACGTCACCCAGAACTAAATAATTGTGGAAGTAGTCATTTCATCAATTTTTTCGTAGTCAATATTGATCAAAGGAATCTAAAACATAGTACAAGTCAACAAATCCTGACTGGTTCTAGTAATTTGGGGAGCAATTTTGGATGCTGCTAATACCAGGATTCGTGAGGTAGATATCTCACACTCCGTTCTATCATTGAATGGCTTGATCGAGGTCTTTTTATTGCCTTTTTCCATGTTCCGATGACTTACTACTTTTCCTAAACCCCGCCCTCCTTCTAAATACTATCTTCCGCTTTAATGTTCGATTTGGTAACTATTTTTACCCCGCGTATTTTGCTCTCATACCGCCTTCATTGATAAACTTAACGAATAATGACAAATTGCAACAATAGTATCCCGTCCTTCGGTTGTGTAAATAGCAACTTCTTTAGTATCTTTCTTGGATTCTTCAATACTTTCAAGCATTTTGAGGTTACTCGGAAGTTACATCGCTGGATGAAAGCAGGTCTTATACTTTACAATGCCTCATCGGTCCTCATCAGAAGATCTCACTGTTTTCTTAGCCGATAGGTGCAAACATAATTTCATATCAATGTCAAAAAAGTGCTCTCAATATCTGTAGTAAGATAAAGCTTCTCAGAATTTCTATAAATTTGAATTTGACTATCTTTCCCGCGACAGCCACTAAGAGTTGTGATCGACGGTGCTGCCAGTGGCCTAGATGTCAGTAGGTGACATTAGATGTAATATGATTGTTCGATCCGATAGATAGTTTCGAAAATTTGACTTCGAAGTGTAGGTGATGTAACAACCCCCATTTTCGTGAGCACTCGCCGTTATTCTAACACTAATAACTTTTCTGTATTTTCATTCGTAGTCATAAACAATCGCGGATGGTTATCTAGCTTATTAGAACTCTTTTACAAGGGAATTTTTCTATCGAAATCTTTTTCCTAATATTTTCTTCGAGAAAAAATCTTGTATATTATTCTTAATATAGATAAAAAGATTTGATAGCAAAAGGATAAATTCAAATTTCTATTACAGTAGGTGCATTTTATTATAATATAGATCTGTAGTTTCACAAATGAATGATCACTGCAGTACCATTTTCTCAATATTTTTTAATCTTCATCGGCCAACGACTTATCCGCTGATGGTGATTCTGATACATAAGCTGCCACAATCGCTGCTATGGTCGCGATGGCTGACATCCCCCACCATGCTGTCCCAACAATACCAGAGTTCAATCCGGCGCCGTACAACCAGCCCGTCATAACCAAATGCCCAAGGCCACGAGCCCCCGCACCAACACTGGCTCCGATGCCGTTGATCGTGCCTAATACAGAAAGATCCGGGCATGCGGCATTGAGTAGCATCGCACCGGCCGGCAGTGCCATAGAGCGCGCCGTTGCCTGGATCGCCAGGATGGACAGCAGCATAGCCCAGAGAGGAATTCCCGCTGCAGGTAGTGGGGCTGGTGTTGAGGATCTGATAATCGCCAGGTACGGTGTGAGAAAGTAAGTGACGGGAAAAATGAGTAATGAGTATCGATACAGTGGCAGCCTGCCAAAAACTTTACAGAGACGTGGGAACAACATCAGCTGTAACAAACAGCTTACAAAACCACGAATCGCAAGTACTGTGGCAAGATCACGTGAATTAAAAGAGAGACCGCCAGTAAAAACGAAGGGTAGGTGTGTATGATAGCCTTGTGGGACTTGGACAAATGATGAAGAATTCCCAGCGCCGGGATGAGCCCTCTCAAACGCTGCCGCATTGCTATTCTCATCCTCTGGCTTATAGCGAGGTGTGGAGACAAATATCGACAAGAGAGATGGATAAGAAAAGATGTGTATCGTCACCAGCACTCGTGTCGCCAGGGTCAGGAGCAAGCGCAGCGTCCATATGCTAACAGTTTGCTGCGTCTCCCTGCTTTTGGATACCAATCGCTGGCCCTCGCTGTCATCCATCTCATACTCTTGACCGGGCAGCCGCTCGTATTGAGGTTGCCGTTGTAGGTACTTTCTAAAGAGCTGCTTTAACCACTTTGGCACGAGAGATATACGCGCATCTTTCTTATTTTTTCTATTGTCAGCAGGGCGCGACCCGTCGAGCCAAAGAGCGATCATAGCCGCAGCACACAGCTTCATCAAGGCATTCATGGCATATGGCAACATAAATGGCCAATATCCGCCCATGGACACCTCGGAAAGAAATCCACCAAGCAGCGGCCCGAGGATGGATCCTGCGTTGAAAGCTGCCGGCAGGAGCAGCACGCCTCGTGACTCAAATTTCGCGCCGCTTATCCCTCGAATTTTGCTCCGCAAGACGGCCTTCTTACCCGTGGACAGGCCGCCGAACAGCTGCCATACCATTGCGCCAGCAAAGCTTCGCGTAAATGCCATCCCAATGCTGCTGATACCGGATATCAAAAGGCACAGGATAATGACTTTCTTGTGTCCGACACGTGGGTGGTCGGCCAAGACTCCCCACACCGTTGAGACGAAGAACTCAGGGATAGCGCTGACTGAGCGCAACAGCGAGAGCTGCAGGGCTATGGTGGCTGTACTCGGCGTCAAGCCATCGGCTTGCATAAATAATCGCAGCTGGAAGATGATGAAGCTTTGTCGACTCCCGCCAGCGAGAGCCTCAACGAGCCGTGCTAGAGTTAAGAGTGCCAATTGTATCTTCTGCGGCATTGTAGCCCAGGAGGCAGCTGCTAGCTGCTCATCTTGTTGTGCTGGGAGTAAGAAGCTGGCTTGCTCCTCGCTGGTACGCTGTGTGGTGAGGGGGGGTACGGCATTTTCCATGTTTATCGGGATACCATTATCACTTTCGCGGTGTAGGTGTAATGGTAGCATGGTCAAGCTTGCGGTAGTCGTGCAGTAAACTCAGGAAACTCGAAATCGTAGTTGCAATCTTTCTGCAGTTCACCTGGACTTCCCGTGTCACTTAAAAAATACTAATTTATGGGCTACAATCCACGCGGACCCATGTAGTCAGTAATTGCTGCGCCTTGATCGTCCTTTGTTGCATCTTTGGTACCAGGATGCTTTAGACAAGTCCAACAGTGGTATGCGTGTCTCACAAATTTCAGAGCGACTGTGAACCCCTGTCAAGCCTGAGAGAGACTAGTCTGCACACTAATACTATTTCATTTAAAGATTATTAAGGTATGTAATGTAAGTAATCTGTACTACGTAGCTTCTAGCACTCTATGACTCCATCCATATCTAGAACAGCATAACTCAGAACTTGCATCAGTTGTTGCTTGATCTCTGAGCTGTTGGTGCCTCCGATAATGAAGACTCCATAGCTCAGCGCAATTGACGCGTCATATGTCCAGGCTGTAATAATAATTCGCCCCTCTTGAAGTTCAGCCGCGAAGTGCTGCTCGAATTCAGCCCTCGAACAGGAAAAATACATCGCATTCAACATGGCCTTGCCCAGACCCCGCTGTGCAAAGTGGCCGGTGACCAAACCGAGGTTGAACGTTCCCGTAATGCGAGCGTTGAGGTCGATAATGTATTGCTTTCCAGATGTGCTAGTAAGAATGTCAATGCCGCAAGGTCCACAGTATCCCTTCTTGTGTAAAAACTTTGCTGTCTGGTTCATGCAGTCAGCATAGCGTTCGCGGAACTCATTTTGGCGCCTGTAGGAGATGGAGCCACCAATCCAATGCCCATCACCATTAAACTTTTGTTTGCAGCAGCCGACAAAGATTGGACGACCCGAACGAGTGATAAATAGCGAAAGAGCCACGACTTTCCCTGGAATATAGTCCTGGAGGACCAAAGAACAGGGGTGCATGTCGTAGTTGGCGTCTGTCAACTGCTCAAGCATGTGCTCCAGCTGGAGCTGGAGTATTTCTTTGAGCTGAGAACGTTGAGCTTCCGTCCAGAGAATGAAAGTACCTTTCCCGGCTGACTGGGGCAGTTTAACCACGAATGGCATTTTGTATGAGTCGAGAGTACTTGCCATCCGAGTAGCTTCTCTAGAAGTTGTTGCTGAATCTTGCAATCTGTGAGGTGGGAGAATTGTATCAATCACAGTTGAAGGTGGCGAAGGCAAATCGGAATACGCCAACCCACGCTTTGATAGGATCTCATAGTGCACTGCCGGGTCAATGAGATGCGGTAAATGCTCTAGGCAATCGGTAGGGCGACTCAGGACAACTTTTGAGTTGGCGCTGAGAATTGATCCATCCGGGTTTGCACGGAATGTGATTATGGGCCTCTGGTCTGGTGGCAATACGGCAACGCTCTTTTGGAAGTCTTCCGCAGGCAAGAAGGGCACGGTATTCGTGGCTAGCTCACACTCTCGCTGACCCGATATAACAATGACGGCTGGCATGCTTCCTGCAGCAAACAAATGTCGTTGAGGGCTAGTCCAGAGACGAAGCTTGACAACTGCTTCATTGTCGACGACGGGTGCAGCAACTCGTAGGCCAGAGTGGTATATGAACTTGGTGGTAGGTGAGCAGTGATGGACTTGAAACGGAGCATGGATAAGAGTCGGCTGGTATCCGTTCTCGTTGTCAAGGCGGTAGAGGTCGTTGAGTGTCGTATCCAGCACAACTGTGGGAACCATAGCAGTCATAGTTGATGGCGATGAAGAGAATTCGTTTCGCAGAAGTCTATTTGAAAATACAGGAAATTTGTCTCTCAGACAAAATGCGTTTGACAAGCAAGGTGTCAATATCGCAGGTTGGAGAGGAGAACTGACTGCCTCGAAGTTCGCCTAGAGTGGAAAAATATCTTAAAAACTATGTGTTACATCAAATTGTTGAGGTATTCATTTCTTAGTCAGAAGAAATCTTTGACACCGTAAGGTCTTGTCTTGGAGCATTGTAGCCCACATACTACGTAGGTTTCACATCTTTAGACTATTCAAATTGCGCAATACCTACCCCCTTTTGGTTCGCGCAGGGTATTTGAACATCTGGACTTTATTCAACAAGATCATCGCGAGGCTGCGATGGCTCTCCAGGGCTTGGAGTGGCGCATCATACATCGCTAGCTCAGCCAGAAAATGCCTCGGATAGACCTTTTCCGCGTTTTGATAGATCTAGTACCTCTTTGTATCATATGCAACCTGTAAATTTTGTACAACCTTTGCCTTTCTTTCCTAGTGGTTCAGCGGCCTCGTAGGAAGCAAGTCGAAGACTTCTGCAGCTGTTGTAATAAATGGTGCCTCTCTCGAGCCTCTCAAGCAATCCCTAGATTCATGTTGACCTGATGGAATAAGCTTAGCTTTTGAATCATTTTTACGGCCCTGAAAGTTAACCCAAGCTTTTGTTAAGAAGCTGTAAAGCGTGTTGTACCAGCAGATCTTGCCATTTTCTTTGGCCAATAGGCGGCCTATTTATGTTAACCTCTACATCCTTCGGCACTACGCGATGTAACTTAGCTGTTAGACCCCTACTCATTTTCTAGCCGCCTGCGTTTTTGCCGTGGTGATGCTCTTCTTCTCCTCCTCAAAACTCGGCTTCGTTCGTAGGCGGCACACTCTGGACGAAAAAAACGGCACACCAAACTCATCAAAATGGAGATTTTTTCAAACTATCATTATTTCAAATTTGAATAACAATTCGAAAAAAGAAAATAAAATCTATCAATCAAAAGTGGATTATAAATAATAAGCCCTTAAATCATATAATTCAAATGAAAGTTTAAAATGATTATTGAATTAAAGAATGATTTTGGAAACAATACTGTTTTTTCGGTGTGCCGTTTTTTTCGTCCAGAGTGTGGGCGGCTCTTTCGCATCGCTGTCACGTGTTGATCTCGGTCTCTTAGGCGGATCGCCTACCGAACGCACAGCCGTCTGGGTCGGCGTACGCCCCGAAGATTAGGCTCAAGGTTGTATTACCTTGTACTATTGCATGCCTAATCCTAGTCTCAAAAATTAGCTAAGTCTGTAATCAGAATTAAATGATCTTTTGTGAGGAAGTTGTAACTATAGGTTTCGTAGATTTATAGTTTTGGAGAGAAAAGCTATTCAAGCTTTGGTAATATTATTATCTGGAGTAAGCTAACCTTGCCCCAACTACTTCGGTACAGCTCGGCTTCTCAGAGAGGAATTGAGCAGATGTACGACGAGATCGATCAGCGAACACTCGAAGAGCTTATGCAAGGAGCACTAGAATGATTGTCTGGAGCTTTTACTTGAGGTTCATTTCTTAAGTAGTTTACAAAATCTCAGTATACTATTTTCAGCGAGTCAGGCTGTAGGTATCACATATCAGCAAACAAAGCATCGCGGAGCTTGAAGACTGACAGCAAGCTTGATATTTTTCTCGCCTTTATTAATGCTATTCTGTTGAGCGGTGAGTACGGCTGATCAATTATGATTGTCATTGAGGAATACAAATGAAATCCTGAGGATAGCTCTATAAAAGAATTGGTACAGTTGGAACGGTATGCGTGTGAGGTGTTCGGAAATCAACGATCTGTGGAAGTCTGGTGTGATTCCGTGTGTTTGACAGACCTAGCTTGTACAACTCAGCTCAAAAGTGGGTCCGACCATGTCAAAAGTTCAAACTAATGTCGAGGATCAAAACAAAATCAAGCAGTTTTGACTCATGTCGAAATTCATGTCGATTTCGGCTCCAAACACGTTGAATATTTGCCTAGTACATGTACACGAGTCGGCCAATTCTAGATGTTAAAGCGAGGTGTTCCTATGTGAGAATTACAATAAACAAAGCCATTCTAAGCAATGCTATAGATATCTTTACTACAATCACATAGGAACCCCGTGACAAGGGAATAAAATGTACAGCTACTATGGAACGCGCAACTCGAAAGATTGCTCTACCAAGAACAATAGGTTCACCGCAAGTAAATACGCTGTTTGCACAAGGAACGTGTGAAGTATACAGGTGGACGGAGTAGAAAAGTCGGTGCTCAGTTACCTAGGTAATAAGTGATCTGGATGATCTGAGCACTTGTACCAATTTATCGGTTTTCAATTATACTGGACTCGAACGATATTTATTTGAATTACTTTGAGGGTTTGTATGTTGTAAGTCTGAGTATATGTGAATATACCAATACTTTTCAAGGGCTCGTTCGGATCGTTCTTTGAGCATCTTGTGTCGTAAAGCCAGTGATTTACACTTTATCGATTTTAGAAAATTCTATCAATAAAAAAATAATCCACAACTAAATAGATAATTTACTATTATAATAATCTACTATGAAATAGTAAAAGGTGGTAGGATTATAGACTAGTCCTTTGTATACGTATGGACGTAGGCGAATCACTTCAATTCAATAGCCATCGTATTGAGCTTTAGGCGAATGCGAAAGAGACTAGCTCTTTTAGTAGTATCTACATAAAGCCTACTACTTTCTATACGTGATTAGCTGTTTAGAGAGGATATCATATAGACATTTAGAACCTACAAAAATACGTGGGTACTATGTCTTCTATATTCTTCTCAAACAAACAATATATATTATAGAAAAGTTATTCTAAATATATTATCTTTTATAAAAAAGAATCTCAAGTGTATAAATAAGGATATTCATTTCAAAGGAATGATTTTAATATAATAGTTATTATATCAAAGAGATCAAATGAATACAAAAGAAATTAGCTTTTTCAATAGTATCTATATAAGATCTACTACTTTCCTATATAGCTAGCTCTTTAGATAGAATACAATTAGATATATAGTGTCACGTGCATGGTTACACACACATAGAAGTTGTAAGCTTTACCACTACGCCACGCACGCAATCTGTCCAAAAGGCACAATATCAGGGATCGATATCCTGACAGCTTACTACTATATATATATCTGTAACATATAGGATCTATAATACGTGGGTGCTACGTCTTTCGTATTCTTCTCGAACCAATAAATATAACTATAAAATTATATTATAAAATCTAACTGTTTTTTATTGTCAAATTATTTTTTAATATATTAATTATCTTTAATTTATTATAACTTTATATTATAATTTGTATATAAACTAATTGAATAAAATTCTTTTCTTTATATTATTCTATTATACTATATATTATTACCCTCGAAATATATCACATAATATTTAAGTATTAATGATTTATTTATTATAGTTAATTAAGGAATTCTTTTAAAAAACTCATTAATTATTATTTATTAATAATTAATTTAGAAAGAATAAAAGATATAAATTTGTTATTAATAAAAGCAAATTAAATATTAAAATAATATTTATATTAAATATAAATTATTATTATATAAAAATTTGTAATAAAGATTCTTATATATAAACTCAAATAATAGATAATTTCTCAAATATATACGATTTCAATAAAAGAAATTAGTTGATATAAACAATAAATCAATTTAAAATATAAATATTTATTATTACTTTTAATATTACTATTAAAAATATAATAATTTTTATTAAATCTAAATATAAAAGATATTCATTGATTATAAATCTCAAGTTTTTTTTATAATTTTATTATATTTATATAATAAAGGTTATTTAAAACAAATTTAATTAGATAATATTAGTTCGAGTAGGATACGGAAGACGTAGTACTCATGTGTTCGTAGGTTCTATATATCTAATTATATTCTATCTAAAGAGCTAGCTATATAGGAAAGTAGTAAGCCTTATATAAATACTACTAAAAGAGCTAGTCTCTTTTATATTCACTTAATTCCTTTAATATAATAATTATTATATTGAAATCATTTCTTTGAAGTTATTTCTTTAAAATAAATATTCTTATTTATATACTCAGAACTCTCTTTTAGAATCTTTAATATATATAATTGAAAAAGAAATTTATAAAATTATAAAAATCCTTTATTTATTAATTAAAATCCCCAATTTTTTATTAATAAAATTATCCCCTTTTTTAATTCCTTTTTATTTATTTTATTATTTTGATATTAATCTTATTTATATTAATTAGATTAATAAAAACTTGACATAGCTTTCTCTTTATCATTACATCAATTGAATTAATCGAATCGTCAATTTATATAACTTCGATAATCTCTTTTTTCTCATAGGATTGATGTAATATAATAATATTAATTTATCATGGAGGGATAGCTATGTCGATTGGTCACTCTGATTATATAATAGGTATGTATAGTGATAATAAACTAGATTGACTTGAGGTATGATCATAAGGATCATACCTACCTTATATACTCTGATCGAGCGACGAGGTAGCCTAATTAGGTATTAGGGTTTATATATGAAATGAATAGAAGACTATATTATGTAGTAATTATAGGAATAAGCACTTCGAAGGAGTGCCATGCTCAATCACATATTGTTGCACAAGACGGTGAATTCCGTAACATAATTATTAGTCTCTTTTTGCTGGTTATATTTAGCTTAATGAGTAAATTATATAATAATTTTAAATTAATATATAAGATTAATAGAATCTTCTTATTAAAAATAGTATTAATTATAAAAATAATTATTATTCTAATATTAAATCCTTAAATTAATTTATATAATTCTAAAATTAAAATATTATATATAACTCTTTTATATTTAATAAACAATTAATGAATAATATTAGTATTATTATATTTATTTATTATAACAATTACATAATCTATTTACAAT